TAATTACCGACGAATATATCCGTCGAAAAATGTTGTAGGTCATTATCGACGGATATATCCGTCGGAAAGTGTACTAGGTCATTACCGACGGATATATCCGTCGGTAATATCCAAATTTCTTCCTGAATCATTTCTATTTTTCAATAAACCATTTTTCCTGCATAATATCACACATTTTATATCAGGAACGCTACACCAAATCCAGTTCCACTATTTCAGATCAAATTGAACTTAAATATAAGACAAATAACCTCAATTGAAATTAAACATAGTAAAAATAATCTCAATTCAAACAAATAACATATAATTCAAATTATCTATAATTAAACTTAATGTGTAAGAGTAACTATAGTTAGAAAGTAGAATAATGTCAAATACAATATTATTTGACAAAATATCTAATAATGGGAATAATCAGGAGACTGTTGTCCTTGTTGTTCTGGGTTGTCCTGTTGTTGTTCTGGGTTTTCCTGTTGTTGTTCTGGGTTGTCCTGTTGTTCTGGGCTGTCTTCTTCTTGTTGAGGTTGTTGTTGCTGACTATCCTGTTGACTATGTTGGCGCTGCTGAATGAGGGATTGTGCACCGGGAGGTAGGAATTGAGCGACTGCACCCACAAGTGATTGAAACTCCCAAAATTGGTGCTCTAGTCGCTCATTATGCTCCCTTGTTCGACGAATCTCTTCCCTCAGTTCATTCATCTCTTCAACATTAACAGAGGAGCTGGCTGCTTGAGTCTGATGCTTGAGAATATCAGACCCACTCTGATAACAATGACCAAGTTGTCCAACTCCATATAATCTTCCCTTATTTTTCCCTCCAACAGTGTCTACCCAACAACGAGACCTAATAAAACTATTTATTTACATGCAGGGTTGAAAGAGTACACAGTGGATGTGGGCAAAAGAGAAGTAATTGTAAAGGGAGATTTTATAGCAAATTGCAATTTTCAGAAAGAAACGTATACAAGAAACACCGTGCAAAGTGTGAATGATAAACCCAAGTCCCTGTCTACATGTTTAACTCACCCTCACTAATATTAATCTAACATGAGTCATATCCTAGCTACCATTCAAATTTGTGTTACTTAATATTGATACGAATTAATTCATTTATTTTATTCTACTGCTTAACCGGGTTTTTTGGAGAGAAAATGCTTCAACTTATACACAATAACCAATAGAAAATTTAAAACAACTTCAACAAGGATTTCGTAGTCTCTGCAATTTATTTTATGTATCCCAAATTTTCAATTGGCAGTGTCTAACAAGCACTAAACTTGCTCGCATTTTCCATGAAATTTCTTAGACGTGTTACAAAATTGGATTAAAAAGAGGAAAATCGGAGAGCATTCAAGCAGTAAAATTTTGGCTAACTTGATTGTTCTGAGATTAAAACTATTGAAACTAGTGCTTAAGCGTAAGGCTTAGTTACTGAAAGTAGAAAATAAGAACTGCTCACGATAGATTGCTACAGAGAACGGAGACAGTAAAAATTATAAAATTGACCCATGCTAAGTCACATTCATAAATAACAGGTGATCCAATGACTCCAACAAAAGCCTACATCACATGAAGCTAAAATCACAAGTAGCAATCGAAGCACATCATGTTCAGCCAACACTCTTTCACTGAAATTCAAACATTACTGAATCTAAAACTAGATAAACATCATTAATAAGTACATTTCAATTATGACTTCATACTGAATGTTAACAAACAAGAACAACAATAAATTCCCCCCTACAACCCTCAACCAATTCCACACATACAAAAACTAGATCACACTCTCATTTCATTCATTGGCTAAGCTACTTGATCAACAATTTCAGTATTGACATTGAACACCAAGCATCTCAAATCACGAAAAACACAAAAACTACAGAATCATTCCAATTCATTTATCTAAGCGCATTGATCAAATTTTCAGCATAAATAAAGAAATTCATGAGTTGGAGAAAATCAAAATAATAAAAAATTAAAAACCATAACCAAGCAAAGGAAGGTATAAAACCTGCAACAAATTGGGGTGCAAGAGGCAGTGGTGGTTTGCGGTGGTTGGTTGGGGCTCACAATAGCCACTACTGGGGACGTGTTGCCTGCCGGTGATGGCTGGAGGTGGTTGTTCTGTGCGGATCTAGGGTTAAGGATGAGTGGAAGAGCAGAATTCAATGGGATGGAGAAAGGAATGAGAGTGGTGTTGGATGGTGGTTCGAAGGTACGCGGTGGTTGGCGTGATGGCGAAGGACCGGTGAGGTAATGACCGTTTCCAATGAAGGGGTCCCAAATCCAATTAGGGCGCAACTGGCAGTGGTGGTTTACGGTGGTTGGTTGGGGCTCACAATAGCCACTATTGGGGACGTGTTGGCTGCCGGTGATGACTGGAGGTGGCTATGGCGCGCGGATGTAGGGTTGAGGATGAGTGGGAGAGGAGAAGTGAATGAGATCAAGAAAGGAATGAGAGTGTTGTTGGATGGTGGTTCGAAGGTGCACGGTGGTTGGCGTGATGGCAAAGGACCAGTGAGATAATGACCGGTTCTAATGAGAGGGTCACAAATCAAATTGGGGCGCAACTGGTAGTGATGGTTCGCGATGGTTGGTTAGGGCTCACAATAGACACTAGTGGAGACGAGTTGGCTGCCGGTGATGACTGGAAGTGGTTGTGCTGCGCAGATCTAGGATTGAGGATGAGTGGGAGAGAAGTGAATGAGATGTAGAAAGGGATGGGAGTGGTGCTGGTCATGAGGGCTTAAGGGTGATGTAATTAATTGTTAATTTACCGACGACTAACTATCCATCGGTAACTAATTGTTAATTTACCGACGGATATATCCGTCGGTAATTAATTCTTCATTTATCGACGGATATATCCGTCGGTAAGACCAAATTCCACAAATTCATTATATCCGTCAGTAATGTCCGTCGATAATCATTAATTTTCTGACGGCTGCATATCCGTTGGTAAATATCCGTCGGTAATATATAATTTTCTTGTAGTGTATATATGCTGCATTTTGATTTTGGATGGTCCTTGTTTTTCTGGCTATGCAGCTTCCTTAAAAAGTTCGATCATATTAACTCGTCCTTCTTTGTTCAATCATGAAAATTTCACTTAGGAGCTAGTTAGACTATAATTTTGTTTTAAAAATGAAAAAAAAAAATGCACTTGTCTCAGCATTATACAGTAGAGAAGAAGACCTTAGTCAACTGCTACATATATATATATATATATACATACACATTCTAGAACATGACGTGGTATATGAGAAATATCATATCTTGTTTTATTTTGTAGTGTAATAATAAATACCTAAAAAATAAAAATAAAAATATAATATAGCAGGAGTGTTTTACAATCTGAGGAGACTCGGGAACGAACTACATATAATATAAAAAGCAAAGAGATTGCCCAGGATTCTAGCGATTATGTAAACTTTTAGCACAAGCAAATTTAACACAGATAGATTAATTGAAATTAGATTAATTTTTATGATTATATCATATGTTATTGAATAATTAGGTTTGTCAAACATAATCTGGTGTGGTGTTTCAATTCATCCTGTCACACACACATGTTCTTCATAAGGGTGATCACCTTAATTAGCCTTTATGTTTGGGATCATTAACTGAGTTGGGTTTCCGTCAATTGCATATAAATGTGATTGAGTGTGTGCATAGTATTAGTTTTTGATGATTAAAATGCAGTTAATGAAAATGGGAAAAGAAAATGAAGGAAGAATTGAAGGAGGAAGGACAGGGATTTGTGGAAAATGGTGAAACGGTCTTCCATGAAATACGTAATTAATTTATAAAATGCAGAGGTTGGAGACCTGGGGATCCCCTTCATGTTGGTTCATGTTGTCTTTGTCTTTGTCTTTGCTATTCCTCCTGCGTTTTGACTTTTTGATTGTCCTCACTTGTATACAACGTGCGATCTCATACGACGTGCCTCAACACTGTTGGTTGCTGCATAAATCATTCTTTGAAAGCAGGGGCCACTACATCACGTGTGCATGATTGACTCCCATGCACTCTCTTGCTTCTCAAATCAACATGCCTTATCAAAGTGTCCACCAATTAATATATCATTCAAATTTCTTTTTTCCTTTATAGTTATTATTCTTACAAATTATTGTTTCCATTCCCTTTCACATGTATCCTTGTTTTTCAATTGCTAGTATATATATATATATATATATATATATATATATATATATATATATATATATATATATATATATATATATATATATATATATATATTTTTTTTTTTTTTTTTTTTAAACAACTACTCCCTTCATAGATATTATGATATTTTAACCTAATATAACAATTACTAGTTAATAATAATTATTTCTTAACCTAGATGTCCAACTTATCAAAGTGTTGGATCCAACTACTAAAAGGAAATAACATTAATATTGTGAAGGAAGAGTAAAGTGTGATGATAAACCTTCATTAGTATTTATTATTTTTTATTATCTTTTATTTTGATTACTTGTTTCCTCTATAGGTGTTATCTTCAATTTTTTTTCCAAGAGTAATCATCACCAGTCAATACTTTACACATTTATTATCTTTATTTATCTCCATTAGGTATTGCTCATAGTACAAAATTATCTTTGTGAAAGCAGTCAAAAAAGAAAAGTATTCATGTTTCATCAGATATATATAGTGGTAAGGTCAAGGTTGTCATAATATAATTTAAGTCGAAATGGTGATCCTTCTTGGTATTTACAGCTACTGGTCTATATGCAACTTGAAGGTGAAGACCCACATTTGGTGAAAGCTTCAGAAACACACTCCTTCACGTTTTTCTTCGTTACCTTAGTACTTAAATTCCCTATCCTCTATGTGCATGGTGATTAGTAGTAATTAGAAAGCTCTCTCCCCTTATTCATCCTCTATCCTATTTTGCAGTATCCCTTAAGTCATTGTTTCGTTTCCAAGTGAACTATATAACTTTTATAAAGCAGCATAGATTGAAGAAGGGTTTCTCTCTCCATGCAAGTAAGAAACTGCTTAACTTATTGATCTAATAGTTCCTAATTTTCAAGTATTTTTCTTCCTCCACATGAAGAAGAAAGTTATTTTAGTTATTTCTTTCCATAGGGTATGCTAGTTCTTCTTGAGTGGTGAATTCAGAAAACGAAGGCCTTTTAATTGAACTTTCTTCAACATTTATTAAACCCTTTACCTGACATGTGTATCATGTCAATTTTTGTGTGGTACAGAAGGAAAAGGAAGCCATTATCAAGGAGGGAAAGGATACAGAAATGGAAGGAACTCATGCAAAAGAGGAAACCCTACCACCTGGATTTCGGTTTCATCCTACCGATGAAGAACTTGTCACTTGCTATCTCGTAAATAAGATATCAGATTCTAATTTTACAGGCAGGGCAATAACTGATGTAGATCTCAATAAATGTGAGCCATGGGAGCTTCCAGGTACATATATTTATTATCTGATTTGAGATTAGTTTTCATGCATGCCTACTTTATAGTTACAGAAATTAAATAATTCATTTGATTTTGGGTTTTTCTTTCTTCATTCATGCATGCTCATATACCAAGACATTTAGTTATATCTTTTTTCATATTTTTTTTCAATTTATCATTCAGTCTTTTCATCCATAATTTTCAGAAAACAGTCAGCAACATAAATCTAGGGTTTCTTCTCAATACAAGCATCCTATTGATGCATTATTCCAGATTCATAATATTTATATAACACGCTACCTAATCTAATTATTCCATATATTAAGGAACACGTTTGTTTTTCTTGTGATATGGATAAGATCTATGTGCTAGATATTATAATGTGTGTATATAATTTCTCCATTTTCTAAGAAAACACAGCAAAGCGAAGTTATTTTCTCTCGTGCAATATACTATGCTGCTTGTTCATCATGTTATTTTTTCATGAACTAGGAAAAGCTAAGATGGGAGAAAAAGAATGGTACTTCTTCAGTCTGAGAGACCGTAAATACCCAACTGGTGTGAGAACCAATCGAGCAACGAACACGGGGTATTGGAAGACCACAGGGAAAGACAAGGAGATCGTCAACAGTGCAACATCGGAATTGATTGGCATGAAGAAGACTTTAGTTTTCTACAAAGGAAGAGCTCCTAGAGGAGAGAAAAGCAACTGGGTCATGCATGAATACCGCATTCACTCAAAATCCACCTTTAGAACTACCAGGGTACATGTCTAATATATTAAACATAGTTTGCTTCTTCCACTAATCATAGAACAATTGATTGAAATCACTTCATTTGAGCATAAATCTAAGCAAAAACTTTTCCATCAATGGAGTAATAACTTTACCCACAATTTGAGAAAAAGAAAATGAGCTGTAATATAACATCCACTTTCATGCATGCAGCAGGATGAATGGGTGGTTTGCAGGGTATTCAAGAAGAGTGGTGGTGCAAAAAAGTTCCCTTCTTCCAACCATGCAAGAGCAGTGAATCCGTACAGCTTGGAAATAGGACAAAATATTATGCCACCACCAATGATGCAACTGGGAGATCCTGCAGCTCATTTCCTCTATGGACGGAACTACATGAGCAGTGTTGAGTTGGCTGAACTTGCTAGGGTTTTAAGAGGGGGTGGATCAACAAGTAGTGTCAATCAACCAATCCAATCCCAGATGGGCTACCCTACATCAGCAGCAGGAGGAGGATTCACCATTTCAGGACTCAACTTGAATCTTGGAGGAGCAACAACCACAACACAACCCATTTTGCGACCAATGCAACAACCTTCTTCTGTTCCTGTTCATACAATGGCTCAAGTACTTGATATGAATTCCAGCATGATGACAACCGGTTCTCTGGGTGCAGAGAACGTAGGTTATGGATCAGAAATGAGTAACATGAATTCTCACGGGAATAGGTTTATGGGCATGGATCATTGCATGGATCTAGACAACTATTGGCCTTCCTACTAAACTTTGATGACGAGACCTTTTAGGTTTATTAGGCACAATCCAATACTATGACTTTAGTTGGATCAGCTTCCATAAAATTGAAGTTCTGTTTTTTCTTGTCTTTCCAAGTTTCGTGCGGTTAAATGACAACCGGTATCATAGTGATCGTGTACCATTTCAATCAAGAAGCTTTTTTAATGTTTGTTTATAGATTACTTTTCTCTTTCTTTAATATTGAAAAACACTATGTGGTGCTACGTTATTGCGTACCCTGATTATTTCTTAACTTCTGCATTTCATTGATTTTTTTTTTTTTTATGTTAATCGGAACCTGCTAATTAACATCTGCAGAATGCAGAAGGGGTTTTTGTTATCTATACAAATAAATGATAACAGTTTAATTCTATTGGTTAAAAGATATACTAACAAGACGGAACCGCAACTAAATACCCTTATAATATTATGGATTAGTAGTTGAACTTATAAAAAAAATGAAGATATATGTATAAATTTGTGTATTAATGTAAACATGTTACTTGGTTTAATGGTTAACACAAATAGTGTCATCATATTGTGGCTTCACTTCACTGATAATAAGTCGTACTGATGAACTTCATCGCATCTTTTAGAGATGTCTACCTAAAAAATGCAAACCAAGGAATTTGGCCACTACATGTTCCGTCCTACATATATACATGTGAGATTTTTAATCTCCCATTCCTTGAAAATCCACGTTCAAATTTGTGTCCAATATAGTTCCACAACAAGAAGTTATATAGCAATTTTAAATCACATTCCAACCAAATGCGTCTAATGCAAATGCGGTCCATGCACTCTAAGAGCAGAAAGCAACCCCCAAAAGTTCATAAATTATGCAATAATTAATATATGTACGTGATCTAGTAACATTGAAGACCAAGCTTTGGTAGGGTTTACCACTTTTGTGGATCAGTTTTTGTTTCAAAACAGTTTTTATTATTTGATAATGTATAGATTGATTCTTGGTGAAGCAGTTTTCAATATCAATTCAATGCAAAATATTGTGAAAGCACGACCGGTTTTAATTTGCAGAACCGGTTTTTAAAATAACAATTTAGACCAGTTTTTGAAATTTGGTTTTTTCAGCTTTGAACTTTAAAAGATCTTATTCCGGGTGCTATTAGACAATTCTCTAAATTCTTTCGAAAAAGAAAAAATGTTGCAAGACTTTGGACTTCAATAAAACTTCCATCCCATACAGATTGTATATATAAATACAGATATATAAATTGTTAAAATGTAGCGTATTTTTCATTAGAGATAATCTTACTTGAATCGTACACAAAATGACCCTATAAAGGAAAAAATAATTTACGTTTAAATAAGATTTTAATTTGAGACTCTAATTAAGCTAGACTATACCGAGTGAGTTTGCAGAATAATCTCCAAAATTTTTATCTTGATTAACATTTATTAACATTGACTTACTTAAATTTAATTATTATTCTTAAAATTTTATAATTTACATTAATATTAATATTTATGATTTTTTATCTCACCAAATTCAATTATTATTAAATATAAATCTAACATTTTATATTTTCATATTCTCTTTTTTTTTTCATATTCATTTATTATTTATTAATAATATATTATTTATTAGATCAACTTAGCTTTTCATTGAATCTTTTATAAACCGCGGTAGCTGTAACAGTTCCTATTTTTCCAAAAAATTGTAACGAATTTTGTACAACGTGAGGAAGATCTCACTCAGTAATACAGAATTCGTTGAATTGTTGATGGTGAAGAATATGTACATCGGTCTGACTAAACAGCTGATCGATCTCCTTTAATAAGTTTAGTCAAAGTTGACGTGAAGTAGAAAACATGGTCATAAAGTTCAAGACAAGATACTTTTATGTGGAGAATTTAATTTTTACGTCCTCCATTTTTTCTTTCTAAGTTTTAAAAATAAGTATTATTTATCTGTTTAAAAAGCATGTATTTTTTCATCGAAGCCTGAGCATTTTGCTTGGTTGGTTTGCAAAACCAACCATTTACTAAAACCTGTTTGGCCCAGCCAGAGTCAGAAGGTCGAGTGAGAAAATAGTAGCTAGAAGCAAATAAAAAGCTAACCGATTTTTTATTTTCTTTTCCTCCTATAAAACAGAGACATCCATCCACACCAAGAAGGAAAATAAGAGTGACGCTGACAAATTGCAAGCTTTTGAATCAAGCCACTCATGGCATGATCAGTTTGTTAGCAAATGAGACAGCAGGATACGATCTATCAAAACCGATAAAACCAAAGCAGTCTCCGTTCAATTCACTTACAGTTTAATTCATTTGTTTTTCCAGTTCCACCTGTGTCCCCCAATATTCATCCATTAAAGTGATCTCAACCCTTTATGTAATCCAACAGATTCCATCACGCTGGTTATATTATATAGAATTGTGTTTGATGAAATTCATGCAGGGGCATCATCTATTACATACAACAAATTGATTAATTTTGGAACATAATATTTATGTATATGTTTTAACTAGTGATTTAACAAGACTCGTCCAATCTCCTAGTTCTCTTAATAAATTTAACTTAAAAACCAGGGTAAATTATCCCGTAGCTACTGAACTACATATGTAAATTGCAAAACATAATTTACATTCTAATTGTCAACTACTTGGTATTTCTACTATTTGACAACAGCAAAAAAAATCTATGCATATTAACTTCCATTCAATCCATAATTCGTGAACTAAACCATAGAGATATATTTTTCTCCTAAATCAAATAAAATTAAATCACACGTTTTTAAGAGCCTTTGAGAGCTTCTCCACAAGAAAAAACATTGAACTTTCAATAGAGAAACTCTGACAAGTAATTTTAACTTAAAACAGAATATCTCTCAATAAGGTCAATAAGTTATCGATGTCAGTGACATCATAGGATATTACCACAATTGTTTTACATTTTCAAACGATAATTCAAGAAACTTAAACAGAAAAGGAGAAGGGGAAATAAGTCAGTTCCAGTTCCAGTGAAGAATAACTCATGAATTAGTTTCGTTTAGAAATAAATTCCAAGTTCCACAAAATACCGCGATTGACAGAACTTATCTGATTCTGATAAACATACATTAAGTGGAAACATTTTTACTGTCAAGAATATAAAAAAATAAAACTGACAGGAAATGAGAGTGCCAAGTCTAATAACAAATATAACACATTGATAATACATTAACACCTAAACATAGTGTGTGCCCAACTCTACAGTGAAACATCCTAAGGTTACCTCACCCAGAAAAAGAGAAGCAAAATATTCAAAACCCCACATGACATGAAAGATGTAGTCCTCCATAAGCCCATGCGAACAGGAAAAATTATCTGCAATAAACAAAAACAGTGTTTTAGCATTATATTTCGACATGGTTGGTGAAAAAAAATATTATGTAAAAAAACTCAACTGCACGATAAATAGTTGTAGAATTTTTGGAAAAATATGAAATTTTAAAGTTTCAACAGTTCTGAGATAAATAAAAGAAGATGCAATTTCAGTGTATATTTGGGTAACAACTAAAATTAGCAAAAAGTCTTTTTTTCAGATAAAAAAAATTATTTTAGACTCAATATTTAACTTATTATTTTTGGTCGCATCCAAACAATTAATTATTCTACTTCACTTTTAAACAAGTTTACTCAACAAAAACTGATTATATGTATAACCTATTATTAAAATAATGCATCATAGTTTCATGCTTTCCATTTATGACACTCAATATGATAAATATACGCCTAGCACCACCAACATCCAGATGTCCAATCATCTGATTACAAAAGGAATTTGAAAACACTTGTGGACATCCCGAAGCAGTAGAGGACCAATTTCAATCAACTAAGAGTGGTTTTCTACCAATACGATGCTCACACCATGTCATCTAGTGCGTTCCACTTTTTTTTCTTCTGTTTCTGTTGGCCTCATTATCTCTTCATATCAATTATCATACTCAAATAGCTTTGATGACATTCTAAGACTCTTGATGCTCTTTACTTGTTTTGCGAAAATTAAGATACTAAAAAAAGTAGTGAACCAAGAGTCTTAACTCAAGTGGCGCCAAGAACCTTCAGATATTTATTTGATCCTAGGACAAAATCCCTACTTTTCCTCCAATTTAACCTACTCTCTCCCTCCTCCACTAGGTCACAGACCTCCTTTATAGCACTCCCTCCAATAAAGTATTTTCAAGATACTAATTTCACAAATTAGGAGGCATTCTACAGTGATGAATCTCCAAATAAGAAACAGAATTATGGTAGTCACTCACAGACCCTTCCAAATGAAATCACACAACGTAACATGACCTAGGCACATTAACTAAATTACTACGTTTAATTTCACATGCTATGGCACTAATGTTTTACCTCATCTTCAAAAACAATTGTATTATGTGCCAGTGACTTGTTGAACACCAAAACATGTATCAGAGCAGAAACTGAGGAGGAAAATGGGAGACTCGTTTTTCTAATGTTAACACCATTTGATCCAGGAGGAATGATAACCCTTCCAAACAATAAGGGTGCAATAAGACGGAATGATCAAATACCATTAAGCGGGGCATCAGGCTCACAGCTTAAAGAAGCTTCTTTCCTATCTCATAATTTAGTGAATGAGAGACATGTTTGTTTTCATCTAAGAAAAATATCAATTCACAACAAGGTGGTTCTATTTAAAAGACCAAACAAAGCTTTTCAAGGATGTTCAGTTCAACACCCAAATTTATTCCCCTTTAGCTCTCAATTTTCGAAGTAAATCAAAACATTTCCATATGCATGACAAAGAATCGAACATTTTTTTTCCAAAGGACTCTATTATTGGATGAAAATCATGTAGGACCTGCTAAATAAGGAGTGGGGCTCACATCGTTCAGTAGCGATGTATTTTACCCTATAACAACGTATTAGTGAGTGTTGTTAATGTTCTTCATGAACATTTACAAAGCAAATTGAGCCACACAAGCATGGCAAGTAACAAAGTTTATGGTAAAGATATCAAAGCAAACTTTGCATCATACATACTACATAAAATAATGTTAGTTAATGAAGTTATCCTCAAGCAAAATAAATAATAGAATAAAATAGAATAGCATACCTAAATTTCTTTCCAGGAAAAAAAAAAACAGGACCCAACTTCATTATGTGTGCTTGTCTGGATGCCCTCGCTTAGCTTTGCGTCGTGCATGGCTGTTTCCACTTCGAGAAGGTTTCTTCACTTTCTTACTGCTGCAGACAATAAAAGTGAAATTTACTATTAAGATCCAAATGTGCGTGTGTGTGTGTGAAGCAAGAGGCATATAGACCAACAAAAAGTAAATCAGCACATGAATTTTGCAAGAGACATTACCAGAAAGCAGCTGAAAACACTCTAGCCACAAAAATAATAGGTAAAGCCAAAAGGGCAGAGGCCTGCAAAATTGACAAAATAATAGGTAAGGCCACCTAATCACTGTCAATTTCAGAAATACTTATCAGGACAGAAAATCATTCATGGCATACCGCAAACCACTCCAACTCTCTAGTTGCAAGAGGTCTAGTAAGGTCATGCTTCTTCAGTGTCTCTTGGACAGTAGCTTGGACCTTCATTGGAAAAATAATAATAATAAATAACGACTAAAACAAAAATGTTTAATCCTTATATCAATACCAGGCCTAATTTTCAGCATTTTTTATTAAAACAATAATTAGAAAAGTTAACAGAATTGTTTACTAATTTAGTGGCGTCAAATGAAAAACTCATTCCAGATCCTGGAACTAACATGAAAATGAAATTCAATGAATCTGCAGTTAAGATAATAAAATCCTAGTTTTACATATCACAATACAACCGCAATATGATATTTGAAAAGAAACTTTAGAAACACTTCTAACCATATCTGTCTTCCGCGGCATTACTGCTATGTCTAAATCATGTTATAACCAAACTAAAGTAAAATGTTTTAGCAGGAAGCAGTATAAAAGACTACATAAAAGTAGACCAGTATTAGAAACATTGGCTCGGAACAGTCAGTCTAACCAGATGGTCAGGGAGACCATCTGAGCAGGTTGTTGGATCTGAAATGCTATTTGAACCAGATCAACCCGGTACAAACCAGGCAGCTTTATATGAAACCAATTAAATGACTTGGACTGATCATGTTGAATTTTAAAAAGCACAAAAACACTCCATTTTGAATTTTTTTATAAAAATGTAAAGTTTCTGTTTGCCCACAAAGCGAATCCTCTTGACACAAAGGAGCCCACACTTTGACATTGTACAATCTCAAGTCAGGAAATTTGAATTTTCACATTATGTCTAGTACTTAGCACATAGTTTACTAACTGAAATTTAAATGTTTACTTTATGGGAAGTGTATTATCCTGCTAAGTGAGAAAGAATTTTGACAGAAGTTTATTAGTATTTTAACATAAATACATTATTAGAGTAAAATTTTTATGTAACAGATGAAAAATATATTTTAAATATAATATTTTTAAAACAGATTTTGCAAATTTAATATTATGCACCACTTTATGTGGTTCAACTGGTAATTCACTTATTCAACTAATGACCCTTAACCTAGAGCCTTGACTAAATCAATGATAAGTCCGGCTCTAACATTCAACCATACACTCGTGCTGCCCTCTAAAATGAATAATACATTATATAATGCTACGATGTAAAAGAATAATTTCTCTTGTAATTTTTTAGTTCTATCATACTGAATCCAGAGAGTATATATATGACAGTAAATCAGTTTGGTGGCTCAATCACCTTATGTACATTTCATCCAAGACCAATACAATTTCTTTCTTTTATTTCTCCTCAATTCTAATATGCAAATATATAAAGTTGACTTTCACTATATTTCCTTAAAAAAAAGACTGATTGAAGGAATGGCCCACTATAAATTTCAAAAAACAGACTGCCAACCAAAGTTTATATTGGCAATTTTCGGATCAGTAGATATAGTGCAACAGGAGTGCATGTAAAAAACAATAAAAGTGTCGTTATCAGCAATTAATAATGACAAAAACAATAAATAATTGCACATATTTCCTTTTTCAACTGCTAACATGATTGCAGGAATGGATACCTATAAATTTCAAAAGACAAAGGCTGCCAACAAAGTTTATATTTTCAATTTTCTGATAAGTAAATACAGTTCAAAAGGAAAACATGTAAAAAAAATACAAAAGTATTGATATCAGCAATAAATAATGACAAATATAATAAGAATTGCATTACATTTAAAAATATTCCAAAAAAGATGAAGCCTACCTGGAGATGATATGTAGTAGCTGATTCCAAAAACTTCCCATAAACATGAACAACCTTATTTGTGTAGGGTTTCAAAACGACTTGTACTTTATCAACATGAGGTTTAGCTGCAATAGCAACCTGGTCAATGTATGGCTTGCTGAACCTTCTAGCTTCCTGTCAACCAGTAGTATTACCTTAAGAAACACATCAGCAAACAAACAAAACAGTAGGATGAATTGAAGAGGTTTATACCTGATAATAAGGATCTACAAATTCCTTTGCCTTGCTTAAACGGGGAGAAATTGCATTCCTGGATACCTCATAAGCTTCAACAGTTTTTGTGGTCAATAATTGCACATGCGGTTCAGCACTGTTTTTCACCACATACCACTGTTCTTTTACAGCCGGGACCCATTTCTTCAATTGAAAAAGGAGAAAGTGAGAAAGAAAACAATTTTATTTGGCAGGGTGTTTAAGAAAATCAGAATAGCTATTTACCAACAAGTAAGCTCCTAATTGGATACCAATTACCAAATTATCACGACGAGGGTTAAAACAGACAAATTGTGAAGCAATTCCATATTGCAGTAATACACTGATTAAAAGTGCATGCCTTTTGGCCATCCTTCCGCTACCACATAAATAGAAACATCCCCACGGAAGCATATAAAAGAACAAGCAAATAAATGGAGGTCTTACAGTTTTAATGGTTTCCACATGAGGTTCAGCCCACTTTCCAGCTTGTGCTTTTTTCTCTAGGGCCTAGGGTAAATAGAAAAGACATTGAAATAAAGAAGCCAATATGAATCGCTTGTAGTGATAAAGAAATAAACTAAACAGCATATCTGTAATTGATTAACATGTCAAAAGAAATCACAGATACGAAAGATTGGTAGCCAAAATAAAAACCAAAAACATTACCTTTTGACTAAAAACTTCCCAAACAGGTTTCCCATGTTTGTTCCACTGAGTCTCAGCACAAGACTGACAAAAAAATAAAATTCTCAGAACTGGTGAGGAAGGCTGTTCTAACAAACATTAGAAGAGATACAACATAGACTCACCTTACTGTGAAAATAGTGTACAGCAAGCCAAGGTGGAAGCCAAGCACCATGTGTCTGATTATGACACCAGTATGAGTCAATTCAATGCACATCGTTATAATTAATAATATAATCAAAATTTTTCGACAGAATGAAATGGTTTCCAATCTAGCATTAATTGTAGAAATAGGCAGCTGCTGCTTACAAAAACAAAAATGGAAAAAGCTAAAATCCTACAATTAAACAATTTAAAAGAAAATATTGGATATGACAAAAAAAATATGGTGAAATCATTTCTTCAAAATATTAAGACTATGGAAATTTGTTTTGGACTAAAGGTTTTAAAATTTTCATATTTGAAGGGTATTTGGGCTACGTGTTCTAGTTTCTGGATAATAAACTGGACCTAAGCAAGGCTAAAAGTACTTTGGCACTTGTTTGGAGCTATATCAAAATCAACAACATAAGTTGAGTCACATGCTAGTTTGAGTTACAGGGTTCCACCATGGTTAGAGCTTTTTATGGTCCCTTGCTCGTAATTGGTTTTGTTTCTAATAAAATTTAGGAATCTCTAAGTGTTGCCAATAATTGAAGCTCTCTCCAGGTTAACCACATCAAAGGATCAAATAAAGGATGAATAATGAGATTTTACCTTTTTTATTTTATGAAATTAAAGTTATAATGAGCTTATGGATTCTGTTCATTTAGCACTTTAACATATGTATATGTACTTTTACAGTTCACTTTTATTTGACCACCAGCGTTTTTTGGGTAAAAAATCATTTGAGAACCCTGGTCTGAGGTTCAGAGCCATCATTTTTATCACAAACCAGCATAGTGAAATAGCTGGCTATGGCAGCACTAAAGCACTATTTCACACAATCACTGAGCCTAAAAGCTGAGTAAGCAATGACATCAAATCAGAATTGATTTATTTTCCTGCATTTATTGCCAATAACATGTTGACATTTTCAATAACAACCCTAAAACCTTAGCCATCAAGATGGACTATTCACAATCGAGCAAGGCTATAAAAAAAAAGTGACACAGAATTGAAAGAAATTCTTCAGTTTCTTTCAGGTAGAAGGCACAATATTGATAATTAAAATGGACTACTTTGGAGAATTCAACTGGCTATCAAGATTTACAGACATGTAAGAAAGATATAATGGTTTAGGTAGTCAACTGAATTGGAGAATTATTACCTCCCTCAACTCCTTTTCTATGGCAGATGCCTCAAACTTAGCCTTCAACATTTCTTCCTAAACAAGAATATTAGGAGAAAAAAAAAAGAGAGACTTCCATCAAAAACATCATCAAGCATCCTGCACAACACGGACAGGAAAATCTATACACTAAAATACCTCAGCAACTTTAAGTGCACGTTCAGTTTTCTGAATTTTTTTCTTCTGTTCCTCATTTATCTTTTGAAGCTGTCAAAAATGTACTACTCAAGTCACCACATCATGCTTAAACAGAATATGCTTCAATAAATAGAAAATCAATAACAGTACCGCAGGTAACTACTAACTAGTGAATAATAAAGACATAGGTTTTAAATTTATTTTTGCCAGTAATAGAGCTCAATAGTAATTCTGTTTTATCTAAAAAGAGAGTAGGATCAACCTAAAGCCAACAGCAATAGATATTACTGTACCAACTAACAAAAACTTAACACCAAATGATAATGTTGCTGTAATACATCATACATCAGAAGACGGATGCACATCAAGCCATGCATCATCTAAAACTGTGCATCAACAAAAAAAAAAGGGAACAGCAAATTCAACATATAAATATAGAAAACAGAAAGGTACTGCTGCATGCTGAGTTCTGAAAACTTCCGTTTCCATGACCTACAGAAGCACGCATCCAAGGGAATGTCCTAATTCACACTTGCTTGTCAATAATAGCATTAAAAGTTCTAAACCATTAACAGGTGATATCAAACTCCAAAAATTTCCTAATTTGAGGAACAAGTATTTACAGCATATATTAATTAAGTCACCGTGGAAGGGGAAAGGTACACATGCAAAAGAATAGCAGAGAAGTATCTTTTGCACATGTAGATTAAAACTAGAAGAACACAGTTATAATGACAACAGAAAAAGGAAGGAGGAAAAGGAAGAATGACATGAAAAGTGAAAAGTAGACATGGAGAAAATGGAGATTAACATGCCGTCCCTATTGTGATCATCGAGCATGACAAGGTGCACAGGGTACTCCCATAACAGAACAGTGTTATTACAAGGCACATTGATAAGTAGAAGGGAAATGAAAAGGGAATAAGAGTTATTAAAATCAACAGAAAATAGTGAATAAGAAATTGTTCCAAAGAAAACAAACTTGAAATGTAATTAAAGCAGATTTGGAAAAACAAAAATGTAGCCAAATGTAAAACTTACATCTTCTAATTTTGAGTCCAAGTCATTAACTTTTTTCTCTAACTCAAGTACTCGAGTTTCCCAGTTTCCTTTCTCCTTGTTTTGGGTTTCTAGTTCCATTTTGAGGTTGTCCACCTACATAAAGAATTTCAGAGTCTGCTCTAAGAATAATAATCATACATGACACATCTACTAGCTCATTCATGCGTAACCTGCTTCTGTAGTTCACCAGCACGTGCATTAGCCTTTTTGACTTGCTCCTTGGCATCCAATGACCCTTTTTTCTGGGAGGAAAAATCATTTTTTTAGGATTTCTAATATACGATTTATAAACAAAAATAAATAAATGCTACCAACAATAAATTATGAGAATGACATTCTAACATTTACCAGCTCTACTCAAATTATTATTACATGAACTAAGGAAAACAATCAATATTAAGAAATAAAAAATATATTTATATAATGAAGAAAAATTGTAAAACCGGTATATTCCCCCACCTGGAGAGAAGCAATCTCATTCTGCAAGGACTGTATAGTAACCGATTTATCTTCAATGATTTTTTCTTTTCCTGCCACAATTGCGTCCTTCTCCCTTACTTCTTCCGACTTTTCACTGATTTCAGATTCTTCAAATAAAATTAAGCACGAAACGTATTAGCCACAAAAAGAAACCGTCAGAAACCAGCATATGTCCAGAAGAAAAAGGTGAGGAAATTATAACTACTTGGAATTCAAATGATGGGCAACGAAACGATAAATAAAAGTCACTCCAATCGTAAATCATTAGCAACTAGCCAGAAAAATATACTTATATAAAGATCAATCAACAATACTCTTTAGCCAACAACATAAATAAGCACCAGAAATAGTTTTTTAAACACAGCGCCTTCTGCCCAGCGACTGCAACTAATTGAAAATTGTAAGCACAACAACACAACGATTCACGATCATAGAACGGTCCGATTTTCAAAAAAAAAAAAAAAAATGCACAGAAACAAAAATCATAGACTTTTTCGTAAGCGAAGAGTGCAACTACTAAAATTGAAATCTCAGAAACGAAATAATTGAGATTAAAAATAGAGCTAGGTTTTAATTTTGCATGGAACACGAAAACGAACCGAGAATTCGGATCTTAGAATTGAGATGATCTAATTGGATCTTGAAGGCGGAGGCATCAGGCTCTCGAGTGGTTTCTTCGATGGAAACATCGGCCTCAGCCCCAGCGATGGCGAGAATTAGGGTTACTGAAAACGCAAAGACGAAGAGCTTCGTGGGCGCCATCGCAACGTGGATTTGCTTTGCCGCCAACAAAGCTTCGGAGAAAAACACACCGTCTTCGGTGTGCTGATATTTATAACACCCTCGTCCTTTACGAGGAGGTTTTCTACGTTCTTTTTTTCTTTTTCTCTTGCACTAAATAGTAATTGAATATTCACTTTGTTCTCTATTATAGTATATTGAATATTGATATATTCACTCTTCACGCTATTATTGAATCAGAAATGGCCATTAATAGAAAATTAATTTTATTTTATAATAATAGTCTAAAAGTAAACATTTCTTTTTTACTAGTGGTTTAAGAAATTTTAGTTAAAAATAAATAAAGAAAGAAAAAAAAAAAGGGAAACACGAGGTGGGCGTGGCGGATTCTACCTTGCCGTGGGAGAATCTAATCTCATCTTTAATTTAAAGACGATGCGATTTCAACAAGTGGCAAGTTAGGGCCACCAAAATCTAATGATTCATTCATAATAATACTGATGCAAGACTGTTTTGTTCACAATCTGTTAACTTTTTCCATTTCTCCAAAAAATAATTAACGTTTTCTATGTTGAATAAACCTTTTAGACAAGTAGTATGTGTCTCTTTTGCTACACAAAATTAAGTATTTTTTATTTGTAATTTTCGTATTTTGTAATTAACTACTTTTAAGTCTCTTTCAACTATTTATGTTAGGATTAAATTAAATTATTAATTTAATTACGCTTTTAATTATCATTATTCTTTTCTTTCAATTGGTTAATTTCATTCGATGATAAGAGGTTTGGTTCATTTACATGAATCCAAAAAGTAAATAATAAGAGAAAAACAATAAGTAAAAATTAAAAAAATGTGGTTGAGTAGTTGTGTTTGAGGGTAGGTGAGGACACATGAATGCCATTGTGGAAGGTTTGAAAGGGATTATAAGACCAGCAAAAGTGGTTGACTATTAAGAGATTTTCAAAACATGGGAAAAAGTGGTGAGGAGTTAAAAACAAAAAAAACAAAAAAGTTATATTAATTTTATTTATATAATAATTTTTACGGTGCTATCACCATTTTTTTTTTCATGTTTACAGAATTTTGAAATAAAATATTTTATTAAGAAAAAATGGTGAGGTTGTTGGGAAGATGTTGTTAGTGATTATTTAATTATGAAAGTCAAACAACGTTGCTGATGGGGATTGTTTAATGAAGTGAAGACGTTGATATTTGACATAAGGCATGGTGAGTGTCACGATGTGTTGTGGGTAGTGGAAAGGAGGAACGGGGAATTCAATTCTATGGATGGAAACTTGTTTTTGTTTATTCCATAAACAAAGAATCGCAGAGATAGCTTAAGAAAGACGAAGATGGCTCAAGCAACAATATCCAACTTAAAAAATATATATAACATTTATGACGCTGTCATTCTATTGAAAACATAACAAATGTTTGGAGAAAAACATGCTGTATTTTTTTTGGGTTCGTGTTGAAGTTAATTAAAGATGAATTCAAGTAAAAATATTTAAAAGTACAAAACGATGTGCATCACGTATGGTCGGATAATAAACGTAAAATAATATATTATTAATAAATAATAAATAATATAAAAGATCAAATTTTTAAATAAATAAATATATTTAATAATTATTAAGTTTAAAAAAATTAAAATCTTAAATATTAACACAACTTATATAATTTTGAATCAATAATAATCCTTCTTCAAATATAATTATTGAAATTCTTGAAAATTCTGAAAAGAGTGATGTACAGTTATTTAGCATATATTAAAGTTATTGTGTGTCTTCTAAGTTGTAACCTGAAAAAAATGTGGATATAGAAGGTGAAGTCATTAAGTTAGATGTAGGTGGAGAAAATGGAGGTTGTAATTGGCCAATTCATGGGAGTAGCTCACTACTTAAATGCCAACGCTAACCAACTTCATTGTTTGTTCCAACTTGGTTCATAAATTCATTTAGAGACCCCAAATTCAAGGGAGGAAATGTAGGTTGTAATTCAGTGAAGTCACTGACAACACTTTTTTTTTTTTTTAACTTTATTAGAAACTATAATCATAACATAATTCATTGAATAACTAGTAAACTTAAAGAAACAATTAAATAATTGTACCTAATGATTAAAAGTGTATTAAAAAATTGGCAGTGACATTTGTCTACAATTTATAATCTGTGACCCATGTAAATTATAACTTTAATATTTTATTATGGATAATTTTATATTGGGTATTTTTTTTAATTCAGTAATTAAATTACAGTATTTAACATTCAACTATCCTTTAAAATTATAATAAAATTTTATTTATACAAATATAAATCGTTGTTCCATATCAAACGTATACAGGTAAATATATTTTTATTTTGAAAATTTAAAATTTAGTTTTAAGATACCAACCGAGTTAGGTTTGAGTGCTTAGAAGGAGCAATAATAAATTCTGTTAAATAAATTAGGTGTTGGGTGTTGGTACATGTTTATTTTCCTTTCACGAATCTTGTGTTTTGTTTATTTTTTATTTTTATTAATCAATTTTACAGACTAGTTCAATCATTAACCCACTTATTTTCTTCAATAATTTCATTATATTTATATATATATTCACACTTGATTTTCTTAATGCTTTATACGTTTGAATTTAAGGATATTTTTATAAGAAATATATTTAATGTATTAAAATTAGTTTATTATAAATATATAATAAATATTTATTTAGTAAATTATAAAAATAATTGTTGTTTTGCATGCATTAGAATATAGTATTATGTTCACAATGGGCCATTCTACTTTGAATATGCTTTTTGACATGCTATATACACCACTATTTTTATGTTTCGAACCACCACATTTTTTTTAAATGTTTTATAAGAATCTCCTTCAAAGGAAATAGTTTTGGTAATATATTCGCTGTGAAAAGTAATTTCTTAATACAAATTTTATAATAGGGAAATTTTGTAGCGTGAATTTTTTTACTTCGTTAGATAAGTGTAAAGCGTAATACAAGAATATATCAAAATGAGTTGAGATTATTTAAGGTTCTATTTGGCAATGTATCCTAACTATTTCTTTTTTAATTAGTTAAAAACCTTGTTCAAACTTATAAATGATACCTAAATAACTTATTTGAAAACGTTATTTAAAACACCATTTAAAAAGATTAGAGTTAATTTGTTTATTTAAAAAAAATATAGTTTTTTTTTAATTTAATAATTTTGACTTTTTTAAAATCTAAAAAATTGAAAACCAAAAAAATACGTTTTTTTTATAAAAAATAATTAATGATATATGTGTATCCGATTATATTTTAATGTCATTAAATTATTTAAATAATTTTTAAGTTTTTATAGTGACTTTGGCCTTCTTTTTTTAAACAAATTACAATTAGAAAAAAATTATTCTTAATTTTTTTAAATGATTTTGTTTTAATAAATAATTTTATCAAACCATCGTAATTTAAATAAAACAACTTTCAATAATCCACTACCCGTCAATTTTGAAACAAAAAAGTGAATAAAGAAAAAAAAAAGCAAGAGGTGTGGGGTTTCAAAAGTTTGAAAGGGGAGGGTGTGAAGAGTAAAAGTAGCAGTGTAAAAGAACAGTCGCTAATCAAAATTAGGCTGGACCAAATTAAACTAAATTTGATGACACTTTTTCTTGGATCTCTATATTTTCTTCTCGGCACCCATAATTAAATTAAATCCTATTTTACCTCTATATCTATATTTATCTTTATAAGTATTTATTTCTAATCTTTAAACCTTCAAATAACTAATTTTAAATTCCAAAGCATTTTCACTTTTCTTTTCTTTTTATTATTCAAAAAATTACAAAAAACATGTAAGAATTTCTAACTTTTTTTATTATTATTTATATCAATTTTTTACCATGTATAATTTCCGCGCAACAAGCTTTTTGGTAGGAAACATGTTCTAAAGTGGATTCTGGATTAATATTTCCAAAACTTGTTTCCAAAAATTATTTTATAAAACTATTGTTCTAGAATTCACTTTGTAGAAATGTATTATGGAATATTCAATCTCTAAAAAAGTGAATTCAGAAATATATTTTGAATTGGGTGTTCTAAAATTTAATTTAATTTTTGAAAAATTATTCAGAATCGAGCAATTTGAATTTTAATTTACAATTTCAACACAGGGCACGTGTAATAAATGTATAATATTAATATTCATCTCTTAAGTGTTAGAAACAATTTTGAACGAAAGTGACGATAAAATATACACAATGAAGACGTAAAAGATAAACAATAGAGATAGACAAGATACACAGAAAAAAAAAAAAAAAGTCTCAAAAGTTTGAAATAAAAATTATTGAAAAAATATTTTAGTTATTTTATTTAGGGTTTTGAGGCGGAGGGAAAAATTTTGGAGTGGAGGAGAAAAGTGTGTAATAGATTGTTTGGTTTCTTTCTTTATAAACAACCTTTGTTCTTACACATTGTTTATTTCGACAGAGTAGCAGCAAATAATAATGTTTGGTTTATTATGCCTAATGCAACCGGGGATTGAATCTCACGTTGCATTAGAATTTTGAAGTACTTGACATGAAAATGGGAAACAAAATAAAAAAGTGTCCACGTGATCTGGTCTACACAGTTCATGCAGAAAGAAGGGCAACAAATCTCTGAAAAATAAACTAATAAAATATTGATTGGTACAGCAACAAAACGCGGTTTCTGCACATAAATTACATTAAAAATGGTTGTAGAAAAGTATCTTTTTCAAAACTTTGATTCGATCTACACCCTAATGTTATAAACTATGTTATGGAGAATTGCAACATATTAATTGGAGTGTCTTCAAGGAAGCTACTCCCTAATGGGAAGGAGACTTAAATTAACCAAGCAAGTGGATTATGAATAAAAAAATTAATTTGACTTTTTTGGACCTAACTAATTTGTTGATACTACTGAATATGTTTTAAATTTGGAATATTTTTAATTATCATTGTTGCTAACATTTTTCTACCCCTTTTAAATTTTTCAATACAGTCTGATTTTTTAAATGAATATTTTAATTGTAGTCTAAAATTAATTAATAATGAATTTTATAAAGGAATAAACATTATATTAAATTTGAAAAACGAACAAAATATATAAAATACTAATCAGTGTAAGAAAATAGTTAAGTAATACTATATTAATTAATAAACTCAGATGAACGTGAAGAAAAATGGTATTTAAAGGAAAGTGCACGACCATTTTTAATTAGGTAGAAAGTCACAGTAATTAACTTCAAGCTTTGTGAGAAGTGTGGCTTAAAGAAGTATTACTATATATTATAGCCCGTTCGTTAAGTTCGCCATTGAGAAATTCGTTCTATGTGCATCCACACAGAAGCAAAATCTGTTGCTTCTGCATCTTCTGACATCTGATAAGATGAAATGCTTACAAAATATAAATGATTTATCTATTTTGTTAAACCCAAAATCAACAATAGGGAAGGCATATACTCAATATAAAGGTTTCAAGGAAAACAAGAACCTCAATTATATTTCTTATAATTAATGAATAGTTAACTGATTTAAACAGAAAGGAAAAGAAAAAGTACTTATTGTTATAAGTTCTTCATCAAAGAAGACATATTACTGTGGAGTGTTGAGGACTGGACACAAAAACAGTGTCAATTGCTTTATTTATTGCACAGTAAACTTGCCATGCCCTTTGGTACAGTGAACCAAAACTTATATTTAGAATATATATTATCCCCTTGGTGCAATCAATTTGCATGCCAGCTGCATCGGAACTCTATAATGACAATTAGTTGTATTCAATGATTATTATTATAATATAATATAATTGATGATTTGCACCATACAATGGCACTTGAGTGATTTGGTAGTGAAACAAGGGTGTAATGTCATGGATCTAAGTATAAAAGAGGGTCACAACAAGTTGAAGCTATGTACCAAAACTTCAGTGATCATATCATAACATAGTAGTAACATATAATTCTGTCGTTGGTAGGTGTATTGACTCAAATGGGGATAGCAGATGCATGCTCCAGGTTCCTTGGGGACTTTTTACAAGCATTCAAATGCTCCCCACAGAGCTCAGTGTCTTCTCACCTTGATCACAATCGTCATGCATGCAAGCCTGAGAAGATGGTGAAACTTGATGCCAAGATGGTCAGTGCCCTTGTCACTGTTTTTGGCATGGAAGCCAATGGAAGAATCAGGAAGGAAAGTGCAAGGGAAGTGGTGGAGAAGCTTGGTTTGATGTATGAGAAGGCCTCGTCAGGGTTTGAGCTAGGTGAGGGTGGGTTGATGGATGATGAAGTGCCTGTGGAAGAGGTGCTTGGTGAGTTGGAGGACATGTCAAAGCGCAGTGAGTTATTGCATGAGGCCTTCAAAATCTTTGATGAGGATGGAGATGGATACATAGATGCAATGGAGTTGAAGAGGGTGCTTGATTGCTTGGGTTTGGACAAGGGTTGGGATATGAAGGCCATTGAAAAGATGGTGAAAGTTGCAGATTTGAACTTTGATGGCAAGGTTGATTTTGGTGAGTTTGAATTGATGATGGGGTAGCAGTTAAGAAAATAAATTCTTTTACTTTTAGAATAATTATTGAGCTGCCAATTGTATATTAATTAATTGATCGATTCCAGCTTTCTATTCAATCTATTTTGCAATTCTAGAGTTCACTCGTTTTTGTTTGTTCTATCTTACTGTGCATACAGAATTGAAAATTTCACTCATGAATAGTTCTGGCATAGAAGCAGTAATAGAAAGCATATAAATGTGCATAAAATTTAATCATGCAGAGTAATATTGCAATAGGTTGTGCAGAAGTTGCTGTGAAAAGAGAATAAAAAGATAGGAAACATGGAAACCACACTGTCTGTATTTTAATAAGGAAGCAAATGGTTTTTTATAATTTCTTTAAATATTCATTTTTTCCTTTAGAATTTAACTAATATATATTGCTTCTGCATATAACCATAGACAGGGGTAAAGGATAATCCTCATACTCATTCCATTGTAGTAAAAGTTTTGTGTTTATCAAGTAGAATTCTTTAGAAACATGTTATACTAGTTAACTGATTTTAGTTAAGAAAAAAACGTACGTTCTGCTTTCTTATTAAAAAATTAATTCTTAATTTAAATTTTATTTTTAAGTTGGAATAGTTTTGTATGAATTTTACAATTGATAACAAATGTATGTTGAATTTTTTTACTAAACTTATTAAAAACATTCAAAAATATATTTTACCTCTTCAAAATAGAGTTTGACCACTATTAATTTTGTACAATTAGCTGTTTTTTTGGATGAATATTGAAAAATAAAATAAATGTTAAGTTATTTGTGCATATTAAAATTCTCAAATGTCATATATTTGCTCAAAGAATGATTTTTGGCTTACTTGATGCACTAAATTATGTGTACTTGATCTAATAGATGATAAATTAAGTAAAATAATTCATTATCAAAGACAAGTAGTGATCCAACCCAACTAATTAAACAGTTAATTTTTATTTATATAATTGAATAAATTGGTTGAATTTCTTGGATTGGATGTCAGTAAGTAAATTGATTGTGTGTGTAACCCCTAACCATAAGATCCATAACTTCTATGCAACTGAAAATTCATTATACATATAAAACAAGAAGTTAGATAAACAAGTTTTGAACAAGAAAATATACTGTGTTTTGAAAGGCAAAGATTAAATGTTATTGGAAGAATCATTCAGATAACCACAAGTAGTGGCCTAAGCACGATAACAGCAAAAGATCAGAAGTTACAAAATGAAGGATGAAAATCTCTGACATCCATTGTCTACAAAAATCCATTAGGATTAAAATTCATGTACTAGCCTTTGGCCTTTTTCCCCAACCTTAGCGAAGAACCCAAAAGCAAGATGATGAACATAAACAAAAAGACAAGGTTTTTGCCCCACCAACAGCTGCATAACCAAACTGTCAACACCATTAACAACAACTAAAAGTTAGTACCAAATAACCACTTCCTATGAAAAGAACCTTCAAATGAAGTTCTCAAGAAATATAAAATCCAAATAAGCACTGACAAGTTTAAGTTTTGGTTGTATCTGTTTTCTGTCATGAAAAGTGTCTCCCACTACCAAGAATCGAATACCTTAAAAAACATTGAATAGTGCTCACAAAGTGCACAACAAAATAACCAACCAACCCTAAGACAGTCATTGTTTATCTTAAACACCCATCATTTTTAGACCTAATCGGGTAACTTCCTTCCTCCATTAGAATTTTCACAAAGAATAGATTATGTGAAGAAAGAAACTCTGCCAATCAAACCTCCCCGATTAAGAAACTGCATATAAGATTTAGCAATGATCAAACACATACCTCTGGATTAAGTATCCAATTGTTGAAGCGGTCAATAACATCAAGATTTTACAATATATAATGAAAAGGAGCATAAAAGTTAAGAGTGGATGATAACAAGAAGCTTTTCTGACTCTCGTTTCCAACACTATCTTTTCCACAATTCTTCTCCTTAGGGGAGGAAGTTTCTTTAAGCGGGTTCCATGAAATTGTTGTAATGCTTCATTGTTTTTATAAGTAATCAAATTACTTTAACACGATCTTTCTAATCCTTTATGCGCTCTCTCTTTCTCTTCTGTTATACCAAACAATAAAGTGACCCAAAAAATATACTTAATTAGTTCTCTCAACTACTAAACCAAGCTAAAAAATTTGTCCATGTAACCTAGGTAGACATCATATTTGATTGATGACAGTGGAACCAACATCATAATTAATGACAGAATAAAAGACTAAAGAGTTCTAGATCCTAACTAGTCTAGACAACTTTAACAGAATCACCAAGCCCATTGACAAGATCTTTGGGTTCTCTTAGGATTTTTAAGACCGCACATTTTAAATAGAATGGAATGTTCTATCATTGCGTGGTCGCCTGGAAACAAGTTCTTTCCTTTCCAAGCTTGCAGCAAGTCAAGCTGCATTAATTCCATGATAGGTGGTAATTTTCTTGAGTTTACACCTATTGGCAATTCAATAAATTAAAGAGAAAGAATGGTTGCAGAATACATTATATCAAATTTTATTTAAAGATTTAAATGAACAATCATTTGAATATTTGTTCCTATTAATTTATTTCATTTTGATAATTAAATTAAAACAGTGATTACCAATTACTATAGCTTCTAACTAAAAAAATTCTCCACATTTATTTCAGAACAGTGGAATGAAGAAATGGTAAATGGAGGGGATCCTTTCTCACAAGTGGCCAAATTATGAGCCAAATGCTGCATAGAGCAAAGTGAGGAGATATTTGTTTTTATACAATTACAATAAGAGAAATGGATAAAGCAGCCAAATCCTTTTATACAAGACTAGATACACCGAAAGAAAAGACACCATTTTAAACAGGCATCATTGAAGAAAAATCAAGCAGCGACATAATAACATACCCTACTAATCTAACAAGACAAGATGGGGAACATAAAGTTGAATCTAAATTGGAAGATACTACAGAGTCTAATAAGGTGGCCAAATACTCCCACAACTCATGCCATCGCTCATAACTCCATTCACATTGTTCATGCCGTTGAAACACATGTCCAAGTTTCCAAGGTCTGAATTCTGTCCACAAACTGTGGCACCATTGTATGAGCCATCATTTCCATGCACAGTGATGGTTGGCGAAACATGTGCCATGTGGCGCAGATTAGTCGTGTTTAGCGGCGGGGGCGTGCTCATTTGACACTGTGTGGGAAGAAGCTGATTGTTTAACGTAGTGAAAGAGCCCCTAGTCACCATGTCTTCTGCTAACTTCACCTGTAAGTGTACACAAATTTCAAATTCTATTCACATACTTCCCATCAAACTTGATTGAAAAAACTATACCATTAAGCTTCCATCAACCAAATAATACCTTAGCTCTCAAGGCTTCTACGTCTGATTTTAGCACCCGGTTGTTCGTATCAGCCTCGCGAAAATGTTGACTAGCATCATTGAACTGCTTGTACAGGGTTGCATTTTCCACTTTCAGTTTTTCAACCTGACAAACCAAAATTCAAAGGAAAACAAAATTATTGTTTCTTGTGCATCTTATATCAAATATTGGTGCTTAAATTCGAAAAATCAAAGAGATTGATTAAAAAGCTAGTATCCTTCCATTATCTTAATCGACAACTATATTCAGATACCTTGGATCTGAGAATTTTAATACCATCACTACTTTATCTGCCATGTTAAAAGACTTATCAAATACCTGCAGCTCTAGGTCAGCCAACTGCGCTTGTTTTCTTCTTCTTGACCTTCTGGCAGAATCGCGATTAGAAACCTTCCTAAAAATCATAATGTAATTCAAAATCACAGTGAGGTTTAAAATCAAACAAGATCCTATTTACATAAACTTTTTCATTAAAACATAGAGGAAAAAAAATATAATAATTCAACACTTAAGTAGTTAACTAAATAAAGTGTAGGTTTATAATTTGACATACCTTCTAAGACGCTTCATATCAACTGCATTTGTGCTATGTTCACAAGGACCTGCTTCATCATCTTCATCAGATGGCTCAGAGGAACCACTTGTGGCTCCTTTCGTATGATTCTTTCTGCCCTCTGGTTTATTAGCTGACACTGGACTACCAACTGCCCAATTTTCAATTCAATTCAAAATGTTAAATTCCATAATCAAACTATAATTTGATGAGATATGATAAACATAATAATTAATGCAACATATTTTTTTTATGTATTTCTCTCTATCATTATAATATTTAATGAATGATAGACAAGAGAGATAAACAAGAAAATGTTGTTAACATAATATTTCTGTAATATTATGAGTTAAGGATTCATAATAAAATGGTTAAAGATGAACTACACTTGACAAGCAAGAAATAATGGCTATATATAATATATATTATAGTGCTCATACCATTAGCAGTGCCACAAATGGATGACTGAGAATCAATTGTGGCAGTGATGGTGGAATGCTTGGGAGTGAGGTTTTGGGAAGAAAAAGGGTCTGTCAGTCCACAAGTTGAAAATGAAGTGATAGAATCCTGCAATTATGAACGGATATGGTTAAACTAGCTGGATTTTTGTACATCAATTTAGTCACTATAATAACTTTTTCCTTTTTTTTTTTCAGTTTGTCTTAGCAAACTTTTTAATTATTTTTCTTCTTTACATGCAAAACAGCAATGGGGCACATGCAGGGACAATAAGCTACAGGAATGTAACAAAGCAATATTCCAACAACCCACAAGCTTCAATCCGGGTCCACTAAGATAGAAGCAATTTAACAAAAGTATTAGTACTTGTGATTTGAAGAAAAAAAAAATGATGTCATTCTATTAAATAAAAGGAAGAAAACTATTAGGAGCTTGTAAACAGGTCTAATGCATTAAACTTTAAATTAATTTACTTTGTTCAGGCTAAATTGCATCAGAATTGAAAATAATATATTCAAACATAATCAACCATATATACATTAAATTTTATATATATATATATATATATATATATATATATATATATATATATATATATATATATATATATATATATATATATATATATATATATATATATACTATAAAGACCAATCAATTGCATTAAAAATTAAAACTAATTAAAATTGACAATTTTCACTATTTAAATCCAACTTCCTAAACATTTTTTTAATTAGTTTTGATACATGGTTACCGTAAGTAATTTTGTACATAATATATTTTTATATTAATTACTTGTTTAATGACTATACTTACGCTGACGATTTAATCTCATTAAATAATAAAATAATTTATCAATATAAGGGTAAACCATTTTTATTTGAAACATATTTCGTTGATTACATCTATTAAAATGTGTTATTGTTTTTTTATAACTATCCGTCAAAACAAAGGCAAGTGGGATATTATGTAAAATAAATAACGAAAGAAAACAAGCTGGGTGTGTTAGCACAAGTCACGGATAGTGGGTATAACTGAGTCCTTTTACTTCCACAGCAATAGAGTGGTTGATCGTGTTATTGCTACTTGCTACTACTTCACCAAAAAAAAAATATTCGACAGTAACTCGTGACCCATGGAATTCAATTTGATTATTTTTACTTCTTTCTTTTGAATTTAGTGATTATGAAATATTTCATGGCCCCATGCGCAAATTTTGGCCAATATTAGCAAGCTTTTAATAATCATAGAATAATGTTATAGCATCATATTAATATTAAATACTGCAAAAAGAATTCCCGAGAAATAGAAAGTTCATAAGCGATAACAAATATGTAAAAAATTTAGCATATATATGTATATATATAGATAAAGCGAAAAGTTCAAAAATAAACATGGGTTTTTCTTTATGTAATTGTAAAATATTATTCATCAACCGAACAATTTTCACGACAGGCCACTTGAATAGACAACAAATATTTTAAAACCACGAAAACTACCCACCGCATTTGGATTAACAATACTTTCGTGTTATTGTTGTTTGCTTTGTCACTTTTCTTGGTACATTTTTTTTCTGGTACATACTTCGTCGCTTTATAGAAAGCTTTTCCACGATGTTTTGTTAATCTGCGGGCGGAGGTAAAACTACTTATAAAAAAAATGAAACGCAGTATCTTATAATAATAAAATTTTACAATAATTTTTATACAGCTATTTTTTTTATTCACCTTCGTTACATCACTTGTTTATACACTCCCTTAAGTATGAATAACTATAAAATCATGCAAGAAAGAATATTACCATATGGTAATTATTGTAAAAATTACTGAATTAAAATTTGCCTCATGTTTACCTATTTTCTGATTGAATATCCATCACACACGATGAAGCAGGTAAAAATATTGTACAAAATTAAATCATAATGACCATAACAAAGTGACACGACACGATTGGGCTTGCCAAACTGTGGGTGCACACAGCACAATTGCAAATAGGAAGAACATCATGGGATGGGTGGGACCCACTCCAAAGGAAGAAAGACAAGAAACAAAAATAAAAAAGAAAGCCCAATATCATAAGATATCTCAAAAGTCCTGCGTTCACACAAGTTCTCATCACAACCCAATAATGAGGCAGTCCGCATCATCACCATGTCTTCTTCACGAACAACTTCACTGCCACCACCTTCACTCACCCCACTCACACCTCTACTATTTTTTTTTTTCTCTTTTTTGGAGAAAGTACTTTTCCTTTCACCTTCACAAATCACTTCATAATAACTAGTGAGTGTCTTTCTCTTGTTATCTTTCCCCCTTCCATAAAAGCATTCACATAATAAGCGGTTTGAAACTATACCTCTCTTCTCCTAAAGATTTTTTTACACTCTCTACAACTTATAACGAATCAGAATTCATTAAACTACAAGATAAGTTTAATTAAACATAACATGATTTCAATTAACGCATAATATCATTAGTTTCTTACTGGAAGCGTTAGACTCACGCGATTACTTACTTACGCGAACGGTCATAGGTTTTTGAGTTGTAGAATTGAGTGAGAGAGAAAGAAAAGACTGACCGGTAATAGATTTTGGAAGGCGGCGAAGGCATCGGTTCCGGCGAGGCTCAGATAGCGGAGGTCGTAATCGAGATTCGGAAAGTCGTAATCGTGATCGGACTCCGTGGTGGCCATCCGTTGGAAGCAGCCGTGGGCGGAGAAAACCGACGACGGCGTGAGTGATTGTTGAGACGCAGCCAGCACGTGGGCGGAGAGAAAGAGAGAGAGCGCTAACAGTAGAAGAGAGAATAGGGAGGGAAAAGGGAACGAGAGTAGCAGCTTCGGGGGTATAAATAGAAACCCAACGTGCATACCACATTTTTTTTTTTGGGCGCCACTTGACATAAAAACGCAACAGAAAGTTAATTTGGTGACTGAAATCACGAAAGTGACCTAATCGAAATTACGTGTTTGAACCGTGAAGAGTAGATTTTTCTAGAATCGAATCTCGACCGTCTATCTTTAATTAGCAAGTGGTGATATACTGACACGTGGGTAGTGAAAATGACAGGTGGAGCTATAGTATTACAGAGTATGTTACAAAACGATTAATATGTTGGTGATAAATTCATAGATAATTCTCGCGATATACTTTTCTCTTACAATATATTACTTTATAACAATATAATATTAGTTTTAATAAATATTATTATTGTAATATCTATAAAACACAGGAAGAATAGATTTGAAGGTAGGGGAATAAAGGGGTAGGAATATGATTCACCTATACATGAATATTGTAAAGAATAATAATAGTACCACGCTTTTGATGCTGCTCTGTTTCACATTATAATATGGAGTTTATTCTAAAATACCATAAAATAAAAGTGTAGTTTTAATTCAAAATAAGAATAATTTATTTTGTTTGGTTGAGTAATAATGAGAATTTTGTTAGTATTTGCAAATTTATTGATGGCTTGTTGAGGGCGGTTTGACTTTGATGGGCAACAACAAGTGGAGACCGAATTTCATTATGTGAAAATGGGGAAAGGAGAAATGTGTGTTATGTTATGTTGTGTCCATCCATGTCACAACTTGCACCTACTACTCTTGTCCAAACATACCAATAAGTTTATTTTAAAAGATTTTGTTTTTTCTTCCAAAGTTTTAATTTTTACTATATTCGAAGATGATATTTTTATTATTTTATAATTAGGGAAAATATTAATGTGCCAATATTTTTTCTTTAGTTTTATAAACTGTGCCAAAGTGATATCATTAACTAAATAAAGTCAATACAAAAAGTTTCATATATTTTATATAATGAAGATGAATTGCAAGAAGATACAGAAGCATGCGTATCATAAGTTTTGTTCTTGTGCAAACATGATTTAAAACATGTCTATTCATAAAGCAATAATTAATGAAGTAGGTGGTGTGATATATTGCGGAATAAGACCATTTAAATACTATTTACCACAGTTGGAAATCTCAATCTCAATCTCAATCATGCAAAAGGTAACCTTCTATGCTACAAAATATCCCTCCCAACATCACTTATCTCTCACTAGCTAATACATCTAATAATAATGAACAATATTTACAGAATCAAGCTGTTAAAAGATAAAATTATTGACTTGTATGATAAGTAACTTAAGAAAATCATAATAAAAATGGTTTTTGGTTGCAATATAAGAATGTGTGTGATTGTGAGCAAAGCACACAGATTAAAAAATGTGGTAAAAAAAAAAGAAAAAGTGTTAGTGGAACTAAATACTGTAATGACCCAATAAAATTTGCGGTCCAAAACCAACAAAAGGTGGCAACTTTACTTTTGGAAAAGCATTAAAAGCAGTTGTGTGTGTTGTGTGGCTTGACGTGACTTTTCCAATAAGTAGTAAGGAAATGAGCATTGGCAAATAGAAAGAAGAAAAAGTGAGGAAGGGGCAAGGAAGAGGGGTGTGCTAGGCAGTTAAAAAAAGTGGGTTTCTTAAGGAGGAAGGTGTTGTTAAAGTAATGGAGTTTGATTGGGACAAGCACCGACCCAAAGCAAAAAGTTAGGAACATAGTAACATACATGCTTTGTGGGTAACCCTAACTTTCTCTCAGTTTAAGGGAAAGGTTACTCCTACTATACCACCTATTTGTTTTTTCCAAGTTACCTTTTTCTTGTTATCATCATGCAGTGACCTTGTTGACACGTTAAAACCAAACCACCTCAAATAGTTTGTTTGTGCAGTGCAAATGTGTGTGTGTGTGTGTGTGTGTGTGTGTGTGTTTCTTGTTGTATGTGACAGGGACAAATCAAAGAGCAATGGATTTGAGAGTAATAGGATTGCATTTTTCACTTGTTCCTTTTTACTTGTCATATTCATATTCACTTGTTCTTCTGATACGCCATGTCACAACCTGTGTACTGCGTAAGTGTGTATTTTTCATTGGCTCAACTTTAATCAGAGCATCGTTGCATTGATTTTAATTTTTAATCGAGTGAATGTTTGGTTTAGTAAGTTAATTATGATATAGAATATTTATCGACCTTATAAATTATCAATGTTTTCTCAGAAATTTTAACTAATATTTAAGATATTTTTATTTAAAAATAATGAAATTGTTGATAGTTAATTTGGTTTGATTCAAATTGAAAATTATTAGTTTGTAAATCTATAATGTTCGATGAATAAATAAATAAATTGTTTAAAGTGTTGACTTTCAACTCAGCGAGTATACTTAAGATGACATGTGTTAATAATAGAAGAATTGTAAATATAATAATAAATTGTATATATATCGTAAAATAAATTACTTTTATTTTATATTTTTTTATGATGAAAATGAATGACATCACTGATAAAGGCGAAATATCGTAGAAGCTTCTGGACCTTAATATGTGCAATGTTAATGTTAAAACCCATGCGTTGGGTGGGACACGTACTTGTTCCACTTACAAACATTTATAGCTCGATAATTCTATTTTTTGTATTTTCATAAAATAAAAAAATTGTCTTTTATAAAATTATTTTAGAACTTTCTTGACTTTTTTTTTTAACTTTTAAAATAGTATCAATACTCAAAAATAATTCTTTTAATTTATTTTCTTTAAATAACTCCTTTAAGTTACTAGTGGAATTATATGTATCATTTAAAAATACAATGTGTATCACAACTATATTAAAATAAAAATGAAATCTTTCATTACACATTTTTTCTTTAAAATGCAAATAAAATAATTTTATATTTTGTTTCGAAATTACCTTTTTCAAAGAGCTTAAGTCAACGGCTTACTAATGAAAGCAGTTCAAGTTTCTTAATTTGTAGAGAAAATGTATTTATAGAAGTTCTTTGTACAAAAATATGTGTAAAGAGAAAATAAAAGAACCGAAAGAGTGTAAAATAACATGATACATGTAATAAAATAAACGAAGAGAAAAACAATATTGATTTTTTTTAATTGTTTGATATCCAACCACAATTATGTGAACAATATTAACAGAAGTTTGTTTTACACTATGATGTTATATTTTAGGAATTATATTTATGTAATATAATAATTAGAATATTATTGATGTCCTTAGTTAGATTGAACTCATGGAAAAAAAAATTTAGAAGACTTTGGACATAGCTATAACTAAAAACATTCCCAACACATAACCCGTGACAAAATTATACTTTCAAAAATTCAGACTTTATAAAATAACTCATCAGTGAAAGTAATAAAAAGTTAGTTATAATTTAATTACTAATAGATTTAAATCTCAACACTATATACTTATTTTTTTTAAGTGTCCCACTAACGAATTTTTTGGTTAAATAAAATTCATCAGTGAAAACCATTAGAAATATAACAATAAATTAGACTACATTCAATTAGTTTTCAAAATATGAGAATTTGATTTAAACAATTCATACTAAACGGCTAAATTAACTCATTTAATAAACTATAAATATCAAATTCACAATTAAGCCTTGATTGAATAGCATGTTTTAAAATTAAGTTATACCAAAAACTTATTTTTAAGGCATGAAGTAATTTCGGTTTATAAGAAAATATGTATAATTTTTATCCTATAAAGTAAATACTTAATAAAAAATATATATAATTATGCCATGCCAGCACTTACTGCAGTCTCATGAAACTAATACATGTCACATGAACATAGCATACCTGTGCAATGTTCAAATATTCTAACAATCATCCCAGTCCAAGCTGGTAAAAGCCCCGAAGATCTAGCAGCACACATGTATTTTTATGATAACAAGGTTAGGCAAGTGGCAATGACCACCAAAACCCTTTAAACGTTCGAGGCCACCGGGAGAGGTTTCCCACAATTGAGTTTAACACAAAAAAAAAAAAAAAAAAAAACACGAAATAAATGATAAGCTAGTCACCACTAAGAAGAAAACAGCAACAGGGAGTTAAAAACCCGTGATGTGACAAGGGAGTAAAAAACTCGAGAGCTCATGCCATTATCTTTGCAGACCTAACATAAAGACTGTCGACAACTTTCCCAATATTGGAAATGGTCTCCAGGGTAGCAGGATATATAGCATCAGTCTTGGGATCGTCAAATATGACAAGGCATCCCGCACCTTGATCCAATGTTCCAGCAAACTTCTTGTCCAAAATCATCTGAGACAACTTTCGCTCCACATGATCGATGGGAAGTTCAATAAGTTCAGCAATATGTGCAATCTCAACCCTTGAGAAAGGCTCAATCAATCTACAAAGATTCTGCTCCAGAAGGGTATCGTACAGGGATTGAAGGTGCCTGTGGACAATTGGGTCCTCCTCCAACTGTGGCTTGTAGTCCCGCAAAGCAATTTCAAACAACCTAAGGGACCTCTTAGAATGTGCATCAGCAACAGCTTTCATAGCATCCAAGTCAGGCCCAAGATATTGCAAGCCTGCTTTAGAGGAAATAATTCCCCCCACGTCATCAGCTTGATTCACCATGATCTTACACAACAACATATACTTCAGGCTAAAAACAGCCTTGGGGTCATCAAGAGCATTGAATGATTCAAAAGCTTCAAAGAAATAGCTATAAGCAGTTTTATAATCCTTCTCCTCGGCATGAAGTATTCCACTCTGCAGATCTATGGCACCTTGTTGAGCTGGAGGCACATAGATCGCATTTGCAGCTGTTCTTGCTGCCGTGAGGGCAGCTTTTGCCTTGGGAAGGTTTCTTAAGGAGAAATGCAGCTTGCTTTCCAGCAAATCTATGTCTACAAGAAGAAGCTTGTCATCTAATCTCCTAACCTCTTTGACCAAGCCAGAAAGAAGAGTCAACGCTTCAGAATACTCCTTATTTTCCATCAGAAGGGCTGCAAGTCTTGCCTCAACTCGCTGCCTCAGAAAGGTACGCTTTTCAGCACGAGTCCATAGCACCATTTCTTTACATAGTGCAATTTGAAGATCAGACGTCCCTGGTATTTTAGCAACGGAGTCAATTATTCCCCTAACAATCTTTGCAGTTTTTGCCTTGGGTATCAAGGAGAAGAATGGCCTCAACTGAGTGAGAAGGCTGCGCAGATCCTCTCCCCTATTCTCTTCCGTGAGATGCTTAGTGAGGAGTGTGATTGCTTGCTCTTTGATACGCAGAGCATCTGGTGAAGAAGAAGGATCATCAAGTACCCGATAAAGAATGGAGATGGCCTCAGTTGGACTTGCCGCCTCAGTTGCCAGAGCAATTGACTCAGTTGTAGCAGGAAGATGAGAGGAAGACATTGCTCCTGCTTTGAGAAAACCCTGCAAAAAAACATTAGTAAATGCAAGGACCATTTAAAACAAGAAACTTTGCATTACTATCAATTAATTGGTGAGTGGAAATTGTTATCTCATTCTGTCAATGCTTTTTCCTTTTTAAAAATTGGACAACTGTAAAATAAATAGAAAGGGAGAGACTAATTTCCTAAAGAAAGGGCAAAAATTGATCACATGAATGGACAAGGGATGGCAGACTGAAAAGCTTTTAATGATTTTACATTATTATATACGTATGAGTTGGGATATAGATTGAATGTTTAGGTTTCATGCACCAAGACTTGTTGAGTTGTGCAGAAAATTTACCACCTCTCACTGTTGTTCAAATTGGTCAGAGTGATTAAATAGATGTTTATTAATCTTTGGATTTTATAGGATTAGCCCCTCCCTAAGAGAGATTAATCACAGAATAAAAATTAGAAGAGAATGTATTATCAACATTGAGAAAAATAGTAATATATAAGAATAGTATGTAGGAAGGAAGAATTTCCCTAAGCTTCTAGCTAACAAGTTAAAAGTATACACACAGGCCATCCTGACTCTTTAATTCCAATATTTAACAAAGCACAGAACTGTTCCCTTTCACCTCAAACCAAGTACCCTCCCCCCCCCCTAAAAGCCTCTTTTTGGGAATTCGAGTTGCATAGACTTTTCAGTAATTAGCCAAGCCTTAGTAGCCACTGGGTCAATGAATCCTGGTCCACTCTGGGTCTTGGATCCAGATTTCTATCAGCTGTCAACGGTGTATACTGTATAGCATTGGAAACCACAACGGGGAAATGCCCCAATAGAGCCATCATAACAGCACAAGTGACATTTGCAGCAATCAAAGTAAGTAACACAATACAGAAACTTATTGAAATACAACCAACTACAAAATCATTTTTTTGCTAGGTGGGTTTGGCCAATGCAAGTTTTAGAAATAATAAAGTTTATGCTTAAATATGTTTAGTCTCCGCAGAATTAATGAGTTTTGATTTTAATCCTGCAAAAAAAAAATCGATGACTTTTATCCCTCGACACAAAAGGTGAAATTTGTTTTTGGTCTCTACCATCAATGACAATCGAAAAAGAATTACATGTTCAACAGAAGGTCAAGTGTCTATCCCAGATAACACCTACTAGTGCCTGCTGTATGATGTCAACATTTGATACCTCCAAATAATTTTATAAATACTAAAATAAATATTATATATTTACTTTAAAATAAAAGGTAGAGACCAAAAGTATTCATTTTAGATTTTAGAGGAATTAAAACTAAAGAAAATTATTTTATAAGGACAAGAAGCAAAATTCACTCATTTTGTAAGGAGTAAAATCAATAACTTTAATTTTTGGGAACAAACTACAATGACAAAAATTTATAGGGGCCAAAACCAAACTGCACTTATTTTATTACGAATAAAAGCATATTTAAACCTAAAGTTTATTAAGATATAAATGCACTAAAAGAAACAAAGAGAAATTCATATTTAGTGAAACATCATCATAAAACAAAAATTATATTTCATCCCAAATTTAACAATCCACAACAAAAAAATACAAAAGAGTAGAGACCTTAAGAAAAAATTATAGGAAAGGGGATAAATGGCTTGATGTTGGATGAAACGAACCTTGGACAACTGGATTAACTCAGAATGAAATAATTTGTCTCAATTAAGAAAAAATAAGAATCAACAAAAATGACTGTCTTGCCCCAAAAAAGTGGTGTAGTGGAAGGATTGAGTGTTCATTATCCAGTAGTTACCCCCTGCAGAAGCTCTTATGTGATTTTCATCTAAATAGACCGAATGACCCCGGTGCCTCATACAATTACAAGCTTATTGATCATATGTGATAAATTGATAATAAAAGAGGTTGAGGTAGTGCTTCCAGACAGATTGAAGCTCTAACCCATTCTTCAATGGAGAAAGATACCATTAAATACCGTAATCACTAAAAGCTTAACTGAGACTTAAAATAGCACTCTCTACTGTGAGGTTTCTGAGAAAGACGTTTATCGGTTTTTTATTATAAAAAATATAAAGAATATAATGTAATCAATCTCAAGAGCTCATCTCCCCTCACTTTAACACTGCCAAGATTGATTCTCATATCCCATCCAAGTCTTCGACCAACTCTACTCATTCCCCTAAAAATACTATGAAGACATTGATTATCAAAAGGGGGCCTTAATAGCTTGCGGGCAATAAATGATGCAAACGAATTCATGGCTACAATGACAGCATTATATAAATTCCAACCTACATCATGTCTTTTCTATTCTGTTTTATTCTTTTACTCAAATGAACGCAGCAGAAGCAAAATATCCTAAGGACGACACATCCTCATACCATGCCGCGCAAAATTCACCCTACACAGATTTTTGCGGCCATCTCTCTCCTGATGAGCCTATCCATCCGATGAAAAAACACTCACTCGGAAAGATAAAAAACCTATCTAGTGGAACATACACTACATTTAAACAAAGATTAACAGTAGCCTAGCACGGACCATGAGTCCATGATGGAGAAAAAAAAAATCACTTGCAAAACCTCCATAGTAAAATTCACTAAACAGAATGTTAATCAACGGAATGAATAGATGATTAACGCAACCACAAACAAATAGAGAACCTAACTCGTACACACAGAAGCAGAAAATCAAAGCATACATAAACTCGTGTTCAAAACGCAGCATAGAGAAGACGAAGGAGTAATAATTGAAAGCAGTTTAATTTGAAAATCAAATCTGAAAAATAGAAGGGCATCAAGGAACGAAACAATGTTACCTTATCGGGTAGCACCGTAGGATTCCGCTGCAGTAACGAATTATGAAAGAATTTGGAGGTTGCGCGGTTCGGTTTGGGAAAAATGGAAGCGTGCAAACCCTAAGACAGAGGAGAGGAGGAAAAAACGACGACGTACGGAGAAAGCAATGTCGGTAACTGTACACACTTTCACAGTTTAAACGCACCGTTTTCTTAGTTAGCTGAACTGTTGAAGTGAGCAAATGGGCTTTACGAAGCCCAGAATTTTAAAAGAAAAGAAACGAGTAAAATTACATTTTGGCCATTTCTTCCTCCACCTCCATTATTTCTTGCTGCAACTCCATAATTAAATTAAATTTTATTTTACCCTTACACATATTTTTATCTTCATAATTATTTATTTCTGATTTTTAATCCTTCAAATGTTTGATTTTTAAACTCAAATAATACATTTTCATTCTTCTCTCCTATTATTCTAAGAATTACAAGAAAAATGTAAGAATTTCCAACTGTTTTTAATTTGTTTCAATTTTTTTCACGCGGTATAATATTTTGTACAACTTTTTGGCTGAAAACACATTTTGGAGATTGGAAATATAGTTTCAGAATAAAATTTCTAGGAACATGTTCCAAAAAAGTGTGGTCCGCTATATATTTTTAGAATTGATTTTCTGGAAATGCAATTTAGATTGGTTGGTCCGGAATATACTTTCGTAATCTATAATCTAGAAGTGTATTTCGGACCCATCAACTTGGAATCTATTTCCAAAAAATCAATTCTAAAGATGTATTTCAGAACCACTTTTTGGAACATGTTTTTGGAAAGATTAGTTTTTCTAGAAACGCATTCTAGAATATATTTTCGGATTGATTCCGAAATGCATTTCTAGAAAAGTCAATTTAGAAATGTATTTCTGAAAAAATCAATTCAAAAATGCATTTTAGATTGAATGTTCTGGAACTCAATAGAATTTTCACAAAATTGTTTCGGATCAAACCATTAGGGTCTCAACGTAAAATTTTAATGGAAGAACATGTAATAAATATATAATATTAACTATTAGAAGAAGGGGTTAGGATTTGAAACAAAAAGCGTATTTTAATTATTTTACTTGGGATATAGAAATGCATGGAAAAATTAGGGAGATACAAGAAGAAAGTGCCTACATTTTTGTTGTTTGAATTTATTTAATTTGATAATATATAATAATAATAATAATAATAATAATAATAATAATAATAAACTTTTATATATGAAAAAAAGATTGATTTTTTTATTAATCACCTTTTAATATATCACAAACGATGATTTTGTCTTTCAAAACAAAATATCTTAATCATCCATTAATAAATTTAAATAAGAAAAATATAAAAATAATTTAAATATTATAAAAAAAATACTTTGAAAAACTAATACTAAAATAAATAAAAGCCATTATTCGTAACATATATCAAAATACAAAATGAATTATAAAAATAATTTATATAATTAACTTAATTGTTTACATAGAAAAATGCATTACTTCATTAAACTGTGTACCTAATTTAATCATCCTAATTTGAAATTTTTTCATTATAGTAATTATGTTAATCATATTTTTATTAGTCATGTCAGCGCAATTCCTAAACTAACTAAAGTTCAATACGAGGAACTATAAGAGAATACCAAAAAATTGTTGGATATCTAAAATAATAATATATTGAATGATATTCTAATATGGTAGTGGTCGTGGGTCTAATGTGTCTTTACGTTTTATGTTTTTCCAAGTTGTTGTTGATGTGCTTACAATATTTGTGTCCTAGACATGTTAGAAGTACGTAGTGTTTGTCTCTCTGTCATGTTGAGGGATTGGTGTTTGTACTTTTGACATGTAAAGTTGTGTTGATTGGTATCACCTAAATTATCGAGAAGGAATCATGGGAGGTTTTAGAGCTTGTGTTGGATAAAAAAACAAAACAAAGAAAGATAAAGAAAAATAATATAATATGTTTGAAAAAACTGAAACATTAAAAATGTCAGAGTTGAATTAATATAAAGGAAGAATATTATTGAAATGTTGTTTTATTGTTGAAAGTATAATACAAGACTTCATACATATGGATAATAGAATGATGAAGTATAGTTGAACCATTATAGGAGAAAATAAAGCAACACTAAATGGTTTTGAAAAAAGACACAAAGACACAAATCACGCAGAGGAGTTATATATGATTTGCATTCTCAACACACCTTATTGAACGCAGTCAAAATCCCTTCCAATACCATGTTACAAATGTAGAAGTAGAACATGACACATGCTTTTAATCATCATAATACAAATTATCAACTTCAATTCTTACTTATTAGCTCATACAAAATCTCTATTTTCATTCTCGTCCATCTTTTCCTTGGCACTAACCACAAAGTCAAGATTGTAAAGCACTGGAACCATAGTGAGAGAGCACAAGAATACCAAGACAGGGCCAAATATCCAAAGCAGGAGAGGAAGTGCTGCATAGAAGAGCCTGTTTCCAACAGTGTTTAGAAGGAAACCTTTCTCCAATATCTCATTCACATATTCAGGTGTCACCAAAGACATGGGGTCCTGTGGGGTGTTGATGAGGATGTTCACTTGGTTTATGAACCTTATGGACAAGGAGTGGCAGAAGAATGAGAAGAGGAAAATGGAGAGCGAAGTGACATATTTGAGTGATATCATGAACTCTCCATGACCCCCATAAACTGTGTCCTCTAGTGGCTTTTTCACACTGTAGGTGCTGCTTATGATTGCTGCTAGACCCGAGCACAGGAGAATAGAGGTTGTGGCCATTAGGGTCGCACCCATGATTGTGTTCCTAAGTGATTGAACAGCGAGGATGTTTTTCTTGTCATTGTCCTGCCAAAAATTCATCATTATCGAACTAGTGTTATGCATGTGCTCATCTTTTTCCAGTGAATTGGGTCACAACTCAGTCTACCATAAAACGAGTGGAAGAAAACATTCTGTGATGGAAGATGATGACCCTGAAGTTTTAGGTGAAACAGTACAAAGTAATGAAAAGTGCAACGGTAGACATGCACTTATTCATGCAGTAAAATGAGTTGTCTACATGCATGGCCTATTTTTTGATGGAGATATAAGACACGACAAATTTTGAGAAAAGTCAAAAGTTTATTTTTATTTTTCTAGGATGGACACTGACTTCGTTATGTATTTTGTTTATGTGGTGCACCTATTAAGGAGACATAACCCCATGGATCTAACCATTAAAGTTGTCACAACACTTTAAAACTAGAATATACTGAAGAAACGTGAGTGAAGATTAAGGAATATATCATAGCATTCCTGCTAAGTTTTAATTACAGGAACCATTTTTAAATACATGCCTCTCAAATCTTTTTGGTAGATATTGATATAGTTTAGATGGATAAAAAATAGAAGATAGAATATGTGGTAAAAAAATATTTATTCACTAAATGAGAAAAAATGATAAAATAGTTTATATAAAAAAAAAAGTTTTTAAAGGTCTGAATAAGGGTAAATTTGAATATAAAAGCTAAAATTAAAAAGTTTGACAGACTTGAAATTAATGTCGTTAATCTCACGCTTTCGCTTTTAATAATATATTATTTACATGTAGATTTGCATGCACATTATCTACGTCTCGTTCGAATGCATTTTGCACTGCACTGCATGAATCTAAGAACAACTTGCTTTGTTTACCCAGTCGGAACTACAATACATTAAGAAAAATCTAAGTGGAAAAGTAATATTTAAAATGAAAAATAGTGTTCACTTTTAATCACTCCATTATTATCTTCTTAATTACTCTTCCTGCAACTGCTTCAAACTGAAAGTTCTATAATACCAGTTTGCTAAAATAACGTTCCTCAAGTATATGATTTTAGATAAACTTTCACCCTTTTTACATTGAAAAGTTGATTCTTGATTGTTTCAAATATAGAACTAAATTAAGATACCTTCATCATGCTAGCAACCCAATTGCGTCGGCCACTAGCATTGATGCCAATGATGGTTGTGTGTGGATGAGTTCGAACAGTGTGCCACAACCAGAAATGGTAACCAAAGCTCATAAGAAACCCTAAGGGCACCAATATCACATCCAAATAACACTTCTTCCATTCCATCCCTGCGTCAAAAGAGTTTAGCCTTCAAATCTCTTGTGCTTGAAAAGAAATCACTCTCAAATGAAATTTCGTTCTGACAATGCCAACCATTGTTTATATACTGATGAAGAAAGAATGAATGTGGACTCATTTGACAACACAATTCAATCTGTACCTGAGTTAAAAAAGAATAACCCTGCTTTTCTCATTAATTTACGAACATTAGCCTAATTTATATTACATGTGGGGTTCTTTGTACAGCTTTAGACTTTTAGTCACCCATTGCATGTGTTTTTCTTTCTTTTTTCTTCATCTTCAGTATTAGGTCCTACTTGCCTGCTTGCTATATACATAAATTATATGGGATAGGTCGATTTAAAGTAAGTGACGTGTGCGTAATTGGCTAATGTATCTGGGGAAATGTATGAAAAGCTTCTTTTAACGATGTTTGATCATGAAATCTACTTCCATTTTGCACATACTGGTGTTACAACTTGTTATAGGAATAGCAACAAACATTTTATAACTCAACTATTTGTCTGTAAACCTTTATTAACTTTTTTCTGTGTTTTTTTAATTTTTTTGTTTGTTTTTTCTTCATTTTGTCAATATGTTAAATGACATATTTTTTAAATTGATTATATTATCACGACTTTTTTTTTCAAAACAATATTTTGCTATTAATACAATGGTAAAATGCGTAAACATTTTAAAAAGTAAAGTAAAATATGTGAACAAAACTTAAATAATAAAATATATAGGAGTGTTTAAAAAATACTTAAAAAAATAAAAATATTATTTTAGATTTTTTGAATTTATTTTTTTCTCAGACCATTTAGCTTAAATTTCAATTTAAAAATCCAGAAACAGAATCTAACTAAACTATTTAATATATTTAAATATAAATTGATAGAGTTAATTAACAATAAACCAATATATTGTTTTACAATTTAATAATGTATATTATATTTATCAAAACATAATACTATATCTGTATTATAGATTTTCTATAAATTAATATTCTTGATCTCAAGTTCCTGTTTATCAATAAAATATGATTAATTTAGTTCAGATTAGGTTGAATTTATGCAATTTTATCATTATTAAAAATGATTATTTAGTTTATAGTTAGTGGTTTCTCTAACATAGTAAAAGGCATAGAAGATGGCAACGAGATATTAAGCAATGATGGATCGTGTCATAATTGTGACCAAGTTCTTTCCTAAGCCAATACGATATTAAGCCATGAAAAAGCTCACATGAATTACCAATAAGATCGTAATTGATATAAAAATATATATTAATTGTTTTGTGACAATTTATGAAGGAAAAACATATTTAATATGTGTTATGGAGAGAGTTTGGTGATTGAACAAAATACTCCGTGTAAAAATGTTTGCAATAACAACTTCGTTACTATATTTTAATTTTGTCACAAATTCTTTCACTAATGATTTTGTTACAAATTTTTTTCCTTGTTAGTAGTGTTTAATTCCTTGATATTTAACTTCTAAATATATAATTTGTATTATTTTTACGATAAGTTATCTTAAAAATAAAAATGTTATTTACCTTATTATACAATATTATTATAAATCATTATCACATTTTTAATATTATTTATTTTAAAAAAATTAATCTTTCATACTTTTAATTTTAAAAGACTCTGTTAATAAATTAAAAAATATATATAAAAAGTATAATTAGTCTTAATAGTTATATATATATAATTACCATTTGATTTTAATTTTTAAGTAATATAAAACTAATGAAAATAACATATTTTACGGGAAAAAATCTTTCTTCTACCATTAAGTATATATGTATTGAAAAAAAATATTAGTTTAATGGAATTTAATTTGCACACTAAAACAAACAAAATAATAAATAATGTTAAAGATGCGTGGCATTTGTGTTAAAATAAAAGAAGTGAGGGGTGAAAGGATAATAAGGTTTTGGGTTGGAAGAAGGAAAGTGAGTTCGTGACAAAGCGCAGAGTGAAATAGGAGATAAGGGAAGTGGGCCCACTCTCCAACACCATAATTTAAGTGCGTTTTCTATTCTCCACTAATTATACTCATCGTGGAAAATAAATAACATTAGCTACCATTTTTAATTACTAAAAGTTACGTATACTATTCAAATATCTTCTATTATTAATTAATACCATGTATGATTATTAGAATATATAAATAAATTATTTTATTTTTTTATGCTTCTTAAATTTTGAGAAAATAGTGTTACAAATAGAAGAAATAAAACAAAAATATAAACATAAATGCGGTTCTTGTTATATACTTAAAGTTACACACGATGATACAAGAGTAATCGAACATACTCAAACCCAATCTTAAAAAGTTTAATTTAACTTTATAATTAAGTTATAATAAGAAATTTTGTGTTTATTTATATATTATAATTTTATTACATGTAAGCAGACACAAAATTAATAATATATCTATTCATATTAAAGATTATATATTTAAAAAATATAAGATTAAATATTGATGGATGATTTGATAATATTCGATAATAAGTGGTATACAATAACTTAATTATTTTAAAATTTTGATTACAAATTTCTGAATAACTAAACACTCAGCTTTTAACAAATAATAAAAGAGAAAAATATGAACATACTACAAAATGATTTTTATTAGAACGAAATGGAGAAACTTTGATAAAATTAACGTAACATAAAATTAAATTTTCAGAAATAAAATAAATTTTCCAGAAATATTTTTCTCCAATAAATATTTATGAAAGAATTTACTATCATATAGTGGCATATGTTATTAATTTATAGGTTTCCTTAGATAGTTAGCTAGAAAATCATTTCGAACTTTTGAAAAAGCTAGTCAAAGCGAAGCAAAAGCAAGTTAAAGAGTAAAGACATAAAAACAAGGAAGTACGGATATGTTCCTGCATCCATTTTTTCATGAATTTTTTTTTTTGTTTTTATTTATAATTAAGACTAATTAATTTCCATTGTTAACTGAGTAATGTGATTAGAGTTGGTGTCATCACTTACCAATAACTAGGGTTTATTTATTTATCCTGAAGTTTTAAGTGAAAATCTTGAAGAGAACTTAACCTAATTGAATGAGTTCATTGAGCTTGACTTAGTTTATATGGAGAATCCTTCTTTTTCCTTTTTCATACGCAAAATGAAAGTTTGTATGGAGAATCTAAACAGAAAAAAGCAAAATTTGAAAAGAGGATAGTGGGATATGCCTGATTGTTAATGACATTGCCTATGGAATTATAAAAAAATTCCTATGGGAAGCTACAAGGAAAAAGTTCCCTTATCTTTGCAGAACCTTTGGGATAAATATCTTCATCCAAATTAGGAATAAAAACAAATTTGTTTTTATATTAAATAAATTTTATAAATTAATCTAATAGTTTATACATATATATATAAAAAAAATTTTAAAAAAGGTTTATCCAACTATTACTTTAATGAATAAAAAAAGAAAAATAAAGAACAAGTTGACCAATCAATCAAACACACCATACCTAATGGGGTGGCATAGGGCAAGGGAAGTGGGTGGAGAACAAACCTTTGCAATAAGTGGATACTTGATGTCCACTTTTACCACCTTGTGTCTAGTGACAAACACTTCTTCATACTTCAATCACAAATTCTAGTATATGCAACATTAGAGAAACAACTCAGTTTAATTTGAGACATAATATCCTTCATGTTTTTTTAATCAATCTATTATACTAAATAGTAATAAAATTCAATATTTTCAAATATTATAATGGTTTTAATTTAGTAATTATAAATTATTGAAATATGTTAGACTTAAAAAAAAGTGCATTAATTTCACAAACATTGTAACAGTTGGCACCAATTGGGCTTCCTCTAATTGACAAACAGAAAAAAAAAAACCCCATTAATTAGAATATGCCCTGGAAGATGCTTGAGCACAATTTGTGTGCACTGAGAAATTGCCTGGAGTGACGTATGGATTCATGGAGAACGTGTGTTCATGAATGTTCCAATGTTTATCCACAACCCTAGATTCATATATGAAGATATAATAACTTATAAAAACATCAAAGTTGTGAGCCTCAAAATTATCCCAACAATTGTAATTATTTAGAAAGTTATCCGTAATTTTCAAAATAAATAAAAAATGTTGTCAAAGTTTATATTTTATTATGTAAATGAAATGCATTTGAATTCACAGATATTGTCCCTTGATTTAAAGGTACAAAGGTTCCAAAAATCCCATATAAAAATGCATATTTATAAATTAACAAAAGTTAGGAATTTTTAATAAAAACGTACCCCTGTACATAGTTTTTTTTTTAAATTAAAATAAATAATCCACTGAATCAACATTAACTTAGACAAGGATCCTACCTCGTTCAGACTCAACTTTAAAATAAATAAAAAAAGGTTTTTTAAATATATAAATTGTTAAGTGATATATAGTAACTAAAATAATTATTATTGGTGGCTAATAATGTCAACATTTCAACATGAGTTTTTGTCTGAATTAGCAACCACATTATACTATGTATTCAGCATCAAACCTATATGTGCATGCATTTTTCCTAAACAATGAAACGGTTTTAGTTTAGTATGTTACCATGTATGTATACAAAACAAGTAGTGTTTTCTCTTAATCCAATGTTTTAAGAAAGTGGTTTAAATAATTAATCACCGGCCATTGATCAGTGATACGAACTTTGCCCTTCTCTTCAACATCACCATGCAAATGCATCGCATTGTTCAGTTATCTCAAATGCCGCAACGTAATGCGGATCACGGTCGGAGATCATTTTTTTCTACAACATCATAGTATTTTATCAATTTTATTCAAATTTTGTTTCAAACTCAAATTAAATCCTCTAATATAACATCCATAAGGTTATTTATTGTCCAATATACATTGTACACTTTGAAACTCAAATTCAATTATGTCATAATTTAATTTTTTTAAAAATCCTCCAGGTCAAAAAAAAAAAAAAAGTTAACTTGACTCTTCAAAATAAAGGATTTATGAATATATCAAACAAATACAATTACAATTTCTTCACCTCCATTTTGTTCAACTACCCAACGTAAGCAATTTTTTTTTCTTTTTAAGTTCCAGATATTAAAACAGAGTCAAATTAGGTGCCTAGGGCAAATTTTGTTTTAATAAAGGTATTGTTTTTTCAATTGTCCAATTTAAAGTTATTAATTTTACTTTTATTTTGCTTATTATTATAAATAAACTTGTTTTTTTTTTTCTCTTTTGATGTTTTTTCAATTTGGTCGCCATGGATTAGATTGAGATGGTTGTTGAAGATGAATGGTAGTTTTGTTGTTGGACAGACACGAGGAAACAATAGAAGAGCAGTGTGAATTGAGGAAGAACCCTAGCTAGAACTTTCAGTCTTTGTGGTTCTAGATGGAGTGATGATTTCATTATTTTACTCTTTCTTCTTTAAAAAACGACACAGGAGTAGTTAGATTTCTTTTTCTTCTGTTTCACCATCTTCCTAGTGCATTGAACCTGTAATGATGAAATTTTGAACATGGCCCTAGAATTAAATTCTGAAAAACTAACTCAGCTTTCGTCTAGGACTTTTGAAAATGTCGTACTTTGTGGGAAATTTTATATTTTTAAGTATTTGTATTATATCTTCTTAATCTTCAATCATCAGAAAAAATTTCTAGAAAATTATGTGTGAAATGATCATGTTGACATTTAAAGATGTGTTCGATTTTTTCTTTAAATTTAAATTTGTAAAACTTTTACTTAAAATATTTTTTTCTGTGAAATTTAATCCGCAATAAAAAAAATATCATATCATAAATAGATCTGTAGAAAAAGTTGCACAAATTTCTGCTAAAAAACAAAATTCTAATATAGATATTTATAAGAAAAAATATACAACCGTAAACACTTTGAACTATTGATTAACAAACATGCATAAGATAATTTAGCAACTAGTAATAAAAATTGTAAATAAATAACAAAAGTACCCATTTAGAACACTTAAATTTGATTGGAGATAAATAATTTATATTTTTTGGAATAAAATTAAAATAAAAAATAAGTAGTATATTAATATTTTCATTGACTTTCAGTTTGGTCTTACTTAATCATCTCAAAATCATTGTTAATAAAACAAAAGAAAAAAAAAGTGATTGGAGAAAGTGAACTTTGTTCATGCTCACGCGCAGCAGATAAACATAAACAACGAAAAAATAATAATTTTCGGATAAGAAGTCATATGATCCAATTTAAAAAATAGATTGTAGTTCAAATTGGTTTATTTTAAATAAAATATTAAATTCGATCCAATGTAATATGATAAAAAGTCATCGCATAAGCTTTATATCTTTATTTTTAAACAAATGTTTTTTTTTTAAATTAATGACGTTTTTCCATCAAAGAAGTACTATTTAATTAATAAAAAATTATACATGAATCATAATAAAATTTAATTTAAATTTACAACAATCACAATTAATTAAATTGTCGATATTATCTTAAAAATGGTCTTAAAATTTCATAAAAACAAAATATTGAAGTAAAACTAATACGCACTCTACTAATATAGATAGTGGAATTACGAATAAAATAAATGTATGTAATAAAATTTTTAATGTATATTATTAAATTGTAAAAATGAACTTGAAAACGAAAAGATATAAAAAAAATATAGCTCTTAGTTTCTTATTTTTTAGGTGATTTTTTTTTCAACTAGTGATTATTGATTTTTAGACTAAATAATATAATGTTAATAAATAATAAATAATAAATAAATAATAAATAATAAATAATAAATAATAAAATATAAAATATATAAAAAGGTAAGATATTAAAATTATAAATATATATTTAATGATGATTAAATTGGGCAAAACACTAATGTAATTAAATATAATTAATTTTTTTTAATGGATAAAAAGAGTATTTTACTTACCTATAATATTATAATTTTATCGTATTTTTAAAGATCTCTCATTACACTTCTTTAGATGGAGGAGAGTTTTTTAAGTACAATAATCTAATATTAATGGATGATTTAGTCCAGGTATATTAATATCTCAGTATCTTTAGAATTCACTTTAACAATATATTGAAATTTGGGAGATATTTTGGATACAGAAACTTATTTATATATTATAATATTAGGAAATATATAATTAGTGTAAGAAAGAAAGGTAGCATTACATAAATTTGTTCAACCAAATCGAAAATTTTTTGGCAAGAAAAAGAAAAAGGTAACAGATTGATCGTTTAAACAGGTATTGTGCGTTTGATCTGAAATAGGTACAGATGTACTACTGTGTTGTACGAGGCAACCTTTGACTGTTTTATATACAAGTTTTGCCATGGAAACCAAATCTACATTTAAAGCTTTCACCAAATCTAATATAAAACATAAACTGCTATTTAAAAACTCATAACTAATTTAATAGCAAATCTCTGAGACCTAGTCATCGTTCATTTAAATTAATCAAAACCAGGTGGATTTAGCTTTCAAAACAAAGATGGTGAGGTAGAAGGAAAGCTCTGACTTGCACTAATCACTCACATGTCAAGCATGGGAATCGCAACTTGACGTTTAACTCATCCGACCTGGACAAAGTTTTTTTTGTTGGTTTTCTCATGCATGCATGTGACATAGAAAACCCAAACACTGATCATAAATATAATATTCCTCGTTCAGACAATTGACCCTTTTAATATTTTTAGCTATCAGAGCATCACTCTTCTATAAATTGGAGACATATTATTAAACACACTCAACTTGCTCCAACCAAAGAGAAAACCTGGTTCAGTTCTGTTGTTCCGTGATAACCCTAACCCTTCTCATGATATTAGCCAACTGAAGTAACCCAAACCCTGTGACAAGGGTTCCAACACATGTCCATGGATCCTTCTAAGAAACCTAACAAGATCAGAGAAATTGTGAGGCTTCAACAGCTTCTTAAGAGATGGAGAAGGGTGGCAAACTCTTCAAAAACAAGCAGAAGTAACAACAACAGCAACAGCAACACCAGCAGAAGCATCAAATTTCTCAAAAGAACACTTTCTCTGTCTGAACGTGAGGGAGGAGGATCGGGCAGTGTTGTTCCCAAGGGCTACGTTGCTGTTTGTGTTGGTGTGGACCTTAGCAGATTCGTTATACCAACCGAGTATTTGGGTCACCAAGCCTTTCACATGCTACTCAGAGAAGCCGAGGAAGAGTTTGGGTTTGAACAAACTGGGGTTCTCAGAATTCCTTGTGAAGTGTCCTTGTTCGAGAGTATCTTGAAGATAGTGGAGAGAAAGGACAAGTTTTTCACTCAGAAATGCAGATTTAGCATCGAGAAAATGATGGGATACTGCTCCTCCAACCACCTTGCTTATTCTCATCAACCTCAAAGTCCAATGTGCAGATAGTTTAGGATTTTGACAATTTTTTTTCTTTTTCTTTTGCTCTTTGTGGAAGCCAATCCATGTATGAGGGTGAGAGGGAATTCAACAGTTACATGTGATATAACCCCTTTAAGCAAAGAAGACAACTTTCCTTGTCCAAATCTTGTATTTTAAGCAACTTTGGACTGATGATGATAAGACAAAAGCTTCCATATATGACAAATCTGAGTACTACTTACTGATTTTTTATTCTGGAATAGAAAGATTTGGTATCTTATATTTCAATTCGTAACTTATTTTACCTTTTTACTTTTGTCTTTTATAAATAAAATATATACATTTTAGTATATTAGGAATTAGGAAACCTGTGATGATCACAAGCATGCACATTAGTATACTTTTCTTTAAAAACACCTCCCTTGTTTACTTTCAGTTTATGAAGGATACAATTAGTGAATCAAAAAATATTATTTAATTGGAAAGAATCAATCCAAATCTTTCAGCTGAAGGTCAATTTAGAAGCCAAAGGGAGAGTGTAACAGAAGAGAAGTAGTTTTCTTTTTACTTGACTCTAAACTAAATAGTACATGCTTTTAAATTGTGAAGAAGGTAAACTGCGATTTTCATTCTGATAAACACCCAGTTCTAGAAACAAACTTTACCTTCTACTGATTAAAAAAACATATGAAACAAAATAGTGTGCTCAAACCAATATATATGTCAAAAATGCCCAACCAATAGGAATATTATATGAGAATATAAGTATATCCTTTTGAAGTTTTCTTTTTTTTTTTCGTTTTTTTTTTGAAGTTAAATCTTTGATATCTCACATGTGAGATCTGCAAGTGATAACCAGAAGTGGAAATTAATATACGGATGATCTACGGAACTTTCCCATCTTGAAGTCATGTTGTTTCCCTTCATTTGAATGCCCCTCCCATGTGCCTTTCATAAAACCATTTAGATTACAAGTTGTAATGCCAGTAACACATGTTTCAATTCTGCATTTACGCTCAATAAAATTAAATTCTATTCACTTGACTTCTTGCTCATTTAGAATTTATGACATGTTGAGTTTAATTTTGATGTTATATATTTTTTTCATGCTATTATCGTTTAATGATATGTTGTTAATTACTATCATATTATTTACCAGAATGAAGTTAACAATACATTTGCAGAGAAGAATTTTACACTGACATATATAGAAATTAAATTTTCAAACATCTATTACACAACTCACATGCCTGCATTCATTATTCAGAAGGGAAAACGTGTTACAGTATCACAAGACTAGACTTAAATTACAAGCTTCTGCAACATATGGAATCTTCTATTAAGTTCAAGAAGATTTGTGTTAAATACTATAATGTAGCACATGGCCTAATAATTAGTGGCATATCAATATATGTGTTGCCTTCGTCAAGTTAACAGCAAAACATATTGTTAAATGGTTTTGAATCTACCTGTAACATTCTCTTAATAATCCCTTTAATACGAATGAAAAAAAACAGTATCAAATGTTTTTTTTTTAATGTATTTGACTTCTATTTATTACTTTCTCTGTAAACTATTAAGAGGATGTGAAGGTGGTAAGAAAATATGAAATTTAATCAAACACATATTGGCGCTTAAAATGCAATAGATTCCATTTAAACAAGGTACAATAGTATAGAGGTCAAATAGCTAATTAATTTTAGATCTAAATTCAAGAATGTGATATCTGTACTTGTGTCATGTGTAATCAGCTGAAAAAAATGGAGAAGAAACTCTGGTCAGATTTCCCAGGACACCACGTGCTGCCTCCATAAACTGTCATGATCATTAGAATATGTCTGCGAAATTGCAACTTGAGAGGAGATGCATATACGAACTAGTTTGATTCCTTGTTCATTCACCTTGCTATAATGAGGTGTTTCAGAGAAATTTAATTTGCTTCATTGTCCATTTAATGGAGGAGAACATGCAATCAGAGAGAAGACCTGATGTATCTCAGACATTTTATTTCAATTCTTTCATATAATGATTGAAATCTATGTGATTTTCACCGGTTTGGAATCTGAACCTCACATTTATTAAAATTTACATGAATTTCACTACATAGAAGAATAAAATGATAAATTATATGGTTCTGGACTGCATAATTTTAACCAAGTCTATTCTAACTATTATTTTCTGTGAATTGAAAATGTTGATTATGTGTTAGTGGGCAAAGGAACACCGTTTTGAAAAAGAAAATAGTTACAAAGAAAATATACGAGTTGATAGCTTAAACTTTAGATTTTCCTGAAGTATGTAATCTATTGGGTTTCCTTTGTAACATGGACTCTAGTAGTCTATTTGTCCTGCGATGGTCAATCAAAACAATTCATTAATAGCTTTTCCTGCTACGATGCAACTAAACGTAACCTAAAGCAGTGAAATTACATGAATTTCTGCCAAAATTTATTTTTTATGAACGTGAAAAATATGTTGATGCTGAAGAATAAAGAGGGAAACTGAAAGGTTGGAAGATTTTGTGCAGAAAGGTAAAGCTCGGTTAGCCATTAGAAGTTAGAACAATTACACAAAATAGAAAGGATTGCACTAATGGTCAAACCAGCTGCAAGTAAAAAACAATCTGCAGACGTGGTTCATGCAACATTAGCTTTGATAATACAAAGAATATTTATGACCTTTGATCATTTGCTAAAACTGCACTTGGTTTCAAATTTGGTATCCATTTGTTATTGAATAATGGTGTCATGAGTCAATTGATCAAGAACGAACATACTCCTTGGCAATGAACAAGTATCTTGTTTCTAAATTTGTGAAACTGTGGAAAGAGTATTAGCCACAAACGAAAAGTTTGACTGTTGGAGAAAACTAAAAACTGTTGAGAATTATTCATGAAAGAGCACAGCTAGAAGGAGTTACTTTGTTTCTTGCAAACATTGAAATAAATTTTGAAAACATAATTACTACATATAAATTAGTATGTATTCAGACATTTCCACCCTCCCTTTGATATTAATCATTTATCATGACTCACTTAGCTGCATTAAAAAGAATGAAAGGCTGGGATGACGTAACAATGACTATTATTTTGAGGTCATAACAGAGGCTGGAGTTGGTCTCTAATAGTGCAGGATCTCATGTAAATTGATCTTTTTTGAAAACAGTTATCTTGCTTAGAAATGAACAGGGTCACTTTACATCAATTCCTCCTGGCCTCCACTTCTAATATAAAACTTAAATTAAGAAAAAGAAAACAAAATAAAAGCTGAAGTTAAAATTGAACACTACAATATGCATCCAGGACGATGAAAAGTTGTGAATGTACAATTTTTTTAATAGCATCAGTTGCAGTATATCCATTAGAAATACAAAAAAGATGTCAGTAAAACATTGAATCATGCAGAAAAGATGACAAGGAAACAGCTTTCATCCCTTAGTCTTTGTGACAAGTATAATGGAATTGATTCCTCTCAGAGTAGCTAAATTGTACACTTAGACGAGAAAAGCAAGTGTGAATAAATGTGAACAGGTCAGACAAATGCAAATGTGTTGTTCACTCACAGTCATTACACACAAACAGGACACAACAGCAACGTGAATGAGAGGAAATAGGATAAAAAAAAACTCTAATTACTTATCATTTTTTTAAATCATAAGCCTCCAACAATGTAGAATCTTTTCCTTAATTGATTATGTCATGCTTAAAAATGAATAGGGTGACTCTGTAACACAATTAAGCCTGGCCCACACTCGTAATCTAAAGAAAAACACAATAAAAGCTGAATTTGCAATGTGCATCAAGAATGCATGACATTATCAAGCTTCAACATTTACATTTCTTTGAATCACATCACTTACAGAAATCCATAAGATACATAAAAAAGATGACAGTGAAACAGTGTATCATCTCTTTCTTAATCTTTTGACCAATAAATAAAATTGATTCCTCTTAAAGAAATAAAATTGTACACGTAGGAGATCGACAAGAGCAGGTGTGAAGAATGCATAAACAAGAGAATGATCATTGTTGCTGACTTGCGTAATCATTGTGGCATGAAAATTGTGAAAAATAAAGATGATGGTCAATTCAGCTCTCTGAATCGTTGAAATTAGGAAAAGTGACACATTTGAAGACCTTGCAGTTAGAACACAAGACATACCCAACCTGAAGTTTGTTTGTTTTTTTTTCATAAAAAAATAAAACATAGAGCATTAGTATCTATAATGATATTGAAAGGGGAATTGTATTGGAAAATAGTGGATGACTCACGGCTTTGCAAGAGGGACATCGTCGATAGATACGTTTGTTTTCGGCTTTGATGTTAGTCTTTTGGCCTTTACAAAAGTCACAAACTAACCACCCTTTTCCATTGCAAGGCTCACACATGATACCTGTATCTGCATCAACCTTGATCAACAATAAAAATATGAGGTCGATGAAGCGTTTGAGTCGGATCAATTCAATGACAGCGAAGAAAAGAAGAAGGTACGTGTTGGTGAGTGGGAGTGCAGTGAAGGGGCTTGACGTGAAGAACACGGTTATGGAGTTTGGTGAGAGTGGAAGGTGAAGGAAGGGAGAGAGACGGTGCTGGAACTGCAAATGTAAGGGACATGGTTGCCATTTCCCTCTCCTGTCTGAGGAGTGGACATGGTTCCACACCGTCTATTTTTGATATCCCATTTTTCAACTTTCCATTTCTAACCTTGTTTTCCCCAAAAAGTAACATGTTTGCCATTCCATTGATCAAAGTGCACTGTCTAATTTTAATTATGATATTTCTTGTGTTTTTTTTGGGTCTAATTTAATATATGAAACCTTTTAATTTACACTAATTCACACTAAGAAAATAAAATATATTAATGAGTAACATAGAAACAGAATAACACCATACAAAATAATTATGGCATTACATACTCAACATTTTATTGACAACCAAATAAGTAACATTTTTATACTTTTATATTTTTTAACATTTATTATTTTATTTTATTAGAGTTAAAATTTTAAGAAAAGATCCTTTAACTTATGTCATACATTATTTCTTGTTTAATATGATCTAAACCTTCCTTTTTAGACCCAAATGATACCATTCTGTAAAATATAAAAAATAAAAATGCTTTCAACGAAGCTGTCGTTAAAGAATAGTTATTTTAACTTATAGAGAAGATTCATAAATTTCTGAGAAAATAATATTTAACCAATTTAATTGTTTCTTTTCAATTTTTTTGAGATCAAGAATTTTAAAATATGTATTTATTTTTATTTACTTTGTATCATTTAAATTATTTTCATTCATTATAAAGAAAAATATCTACCATAACTCGAAGTTCTTGTTTTTTGTGATGAGTGTTCTTCAATTGTAAAATATGTAAATGTCATTATCAGTATTTTTTTAAAAGAAGAAAAGGTATTCGTGTATTAAACGGCCATTAACTGTAAAATATGTAAATGTCATTATCAGTAGAAACTTTAATGAAGGTTATTTTAAAGATTTTAAACATCATTAACTGTATAATGAAAGTAATGTAACGGCCAAATAGTAGAATTTCAAGATAAAGACAAGGGAAATACATTAATCACGTAAGGGTACAAACATCCTCTTAGGAATATAATCTTATAAAATTAGCAGAAATTATTAATGCCTGATATTTGAAACTACATTATATCACAGCAAACTTGTTGGGAATAAACTTGTTGGAAAAGTGTGACTTAAGTACACATTGAATAAGAATAAAAAATTAATAAAGTATGAACCATAAGAGGAAAGAAAAATAATTAATTGAAACAGAGATACTTAACTTAGATTTTACACGACCCAAACAGAAAAATATAGATTCTTAACACACTTTCAACTCAAGTTAGTTTTTTTTCTTTCCTCTTTTCACCAAATGGATATTGAGGCATGAAAGTGTGAAATGTACACAGTAAACAAACAAGCTCTGTCACACGAGATCTCTGTGAAAAATAATAATAAAAAAGAGTTCTAATAATAGATAAAATTATATAGCATTTTAGCATATGCTGTAATCTTGTATAATACTAATAATTTAAAAGTTTTAAAATATTAAAATGATTCTGTATATGGAGAAATGGTGCAAGAACTGACAGAATTTTACCATAACCCAACAGAATAAAACAGTAGGCAAATATGAGCCTCTTGCTACTTAGCAAACTTAGAATAAAGTTGTTTTCAAGAGTATTATCTATAGAATAAATAATATTGAAAAACAATATTGATTCACGAAGGGTTACAACCTACGTATATATAATGAATTAGAAGAAACCAATTAGTGTTCATAACTAGAGAGTTAAAAAACGTTATGTTAAATTATATTTTAAATAGTTTGATTTATAATTGAGTCTGACAATGTCGTGATAATCTGAAAATCATTTTTTTTGTATTTTGAAATGAAACCTAATAATTAAAATAAGAAGAATCCTGCAATTTCAAATTATTTGATATAAAATGGCCATTAAATTGCATTATACTGTGGAATTTTGCATATTTCACATTAATAGGAATGATACATTTTTTTTAACATATTTTACTATTTTTTTAACAAGAAAATCACCCATTTTTAATAACTTTTTGTGAATATTAATAAAAACAAGATTAAAAAGAGAATGTCAGAGAGTGTCTCTGGTATGATTAAGTGTTAAAAGGTGGTGCAGAAGGCTCCAAGTTTCCCATGGTTCCATAATAACATAGTGGGGGCTGTTTCAAAGGGATCAGTGCAGGGACAGGTGTTACCTCATTTTCATGCAAAGCCGCCACGACATGCAATGCACCCTCACCTCTTGCCGCGTGACCTCCCACCACCTCCTTATACTATGCTATATACCACTTCCCTTCTCTCAGACTCTACTCTCATCAGCACACACTACTGTTCTATCTGAATTTGGTTGAGTCTTGAAAACACCAAACAATGGCTGATCAACCAAGAACTGCAGGTCCTTACTATGGTTCCTCCCACGGAACCTCCTACGGACCGCCGTATGGAAGCACCTATGAGTCCAACACCAGCTTTAACAGCCCTACTTCACGCCAAACCGTCAAGTTCATAACTGCTGCCACTATAGGCATCTCACTCTTGCTACTGTCTGGGTTGATCTTCACAGGTACTGTCATAGGCTTAATCATCGCAACCCCTCTACTGGTGATCTTCAGTCCCATCCTCGTCCCAGCTGCGTTTGTGCTGTTCCTAGTTGCTTCTGGCTTTTTGTTCTCTGGCGGCTGCGGTGTGGCTGCCATTGCTGTTTTGTCTTGGATTTACAACTACGTGTCTGGGAAGCATCCTGCAGGTTCTGACACCCTTGACTATGCAAAAGGGTACCTAGCTGACAAGACGAGGGATGTGAAGGAAAGGGCAAAGGATTATGGAAGCTATGCTCAGGGTAGAATTCACGAAGCCACACAGGGAGCTTATTAGTCACGCATGCTTATGCATGTGTGTATGAGGCTGAACTGAAGGTGGGGAGGGGTACCATTGTGGATGTGCAATGCTATGCATGAGGTTGAATTGAAGGGGGTGGTGCCCTTCTGGATGTGCATGTTCAAGTTCTACTCTTAATTTGAATCTTGTTTGCTGTTTGCAGTGTTTAGTGTTGTTTTGCTTTTGTATCTCGTTCGGTTTTGGAGCTAAATCTTTCACCTTATTTCAGTTCTATTTATGTGATCCTCATGTTAATAAATCTCTTCTGCAACTAGATCAATAATTCCTTGTAGTTAAAATGTGAGTTGGGTTGTTTCCTTGTTCAATTTTGTAATTCCTTTTCCCTTTTTGTTGCTGCTCTTTTTATTTGTTGTGAGGGTAGAGTGGGTAGCAGCTTTGTCTGCAAGATAGGAAAAAATACCAACGGGAATAAGGAGATGACGGAAGACCCAAGTTTATTCTCAGCTTGAGAGGACAAAAAGAACAAAAAATAACTGTAAGCCTTAACACACATCCTAAAATACCAGCATAATCAAGTTCTGAGCATCATCTCAAGCTGCATGAGATCGAGGCAACAAATCCTGAACTTCTATTGAATTTAGTGATCATGTTAAACACGGTGGAACAGGAATTGAAAGATGTGTGTAAATTTAGTAGCCGCACGTCGCTTCTGAAGTTTTATGTTGTCCTAAATTTCTGACTCCATTTTGGATTCTAATGTATAAATTATAATACTTATTATTCATCTAGAACTATACATTTCGGATTCTAATGTATAAATTATAATACTTGTTATTCATCTAGAACTATGGAGTAATATCTATTTATGACAGAGATATCTGATTGTAAACATTCTAAGCAGTTTGTACTAAATGTACTGAAGGTTAATGATTTCTTAGGGTGACTGTAACTGACTAGAAATCTAAATGAAACCTTGAAAGACAAATAGAAAAAACTTCTTAATAGATGAGAACTATTGATTCGCAGCTAGATTATCCCAAGAAAATATGATGAAAGCTATGTCTCATGTCGAAAAATCATCTTAATACGATTATTTATGATAAATGATCAGTCAAGACAGATGCAAACGATTCAAAGAAAAAGGTCTAGTTAAACTTTTTTATTTTATAACCATTTCCAAATTCAAATTTCTTCTATCTTTCATAGATAAAAGAGAATAAGACAAGAGAAATATACCGAAATTTATCCTAATTCACCCTACAACACGGTTAAACTTATCAAGACTTTCACTTTGCCTAGACGAGAATGCTATTCTGCTCGATTTTGTCATGGTTCAACAGATACAAATAGGACTCACAACGTCCAAGATGTAATCCACCCGCAACCCGAGAGGAAAGCCCCTGCTAACACTTAATGAAAATACTAAGGATTACCAATTCATCTTTTATCTTGCAATTGCAACATATGTTCTATTTATCTGTACACGGATATCTAATTTGGAGAAGGGATGATCAAATATTAGTAGATAATAATACAATCATATAACAAATATATTAATGAAAACTTGTCATTGTTAGCATTAAGATGCTTATTAAATCAAAATAATAATTCAGAGAAGAACTAATAATTATTAACGGTGAATAATATGATTCTTAATTGAACCATTTGAAGAATTTTACAAACTACGAATATCAAGGTTCGAGTGGCTTATCGTTTTCTTGCTTGTAGAAGGTTTCATAAGTCTGCACTCTTGGCTTTGATTCTGGCAATTTCAATTCTTCCATAAAGCCATTAGTCATCTTGACGAAATCATTCATGTGAACTTGTTTCCATTCCTTCCAAATAAAAAAATCAGAATTATCAGAGAGGAAAAGAAAAAAAAAATAAACGACTTCTAGAATAGGGATGCATGGAAAGGTACTTAATTTGAAATAGAACTTCAAACCACGAAATTTGAAGTACCAAAATGAAAAATCTAACGACATTGACACAACAAGTTATTTCCCTCCTTGAAGAGAATGTTTTAAAATTAATATAAAGAAACGGTCTCCCAACGAATTAATTTCTCCTTAACCACAAGTCCGCAAGAGCAAACTTGTGCTGCAATTACCGATGGGCCAAGAGGCTTGAAGAACTGAACGAACTCCTTCTATCGATCCTTTAAAACCAATTATAAAGTTAACATTGAACGAAACCTCAATGAAATTTTAATCATTTATATAAACATAACTCTTTAATTAAGTGGTTTAAAAATCTACTCAAAAATCAAAACATGAGGGAAGCAAAAGGAAAGCATAGAGAGGTGGTCAACTATCTCGCCGTCACCAAACGATAACTACTATAATGTTATCTGCCTCTTAAATTTGTATGCACAAAAATGTAGCCATAACTTGCTCATCAAGGAAATTGAAATGCATCTTGCCAATTACTTATGTTACACAAGGTTTTAGGCATAACATGCTCATAGGATCTCGAAATCCTGTCTTCCCCCAACTATACAGCGGCATAATTTCTTTTATTTAGTCTTACAGTGCAATCAAGGTTTTAAAAAAAGTCCGCAACTGCAACTGTGGCCACATTGTCAATATATTTAAGGTCTTCGTGAACACATGGGGACTGAAATTGAGACTACATTAGCTGCATTTGTTTACAGACTCTCATAATATCAGAGATTGAGACAAAATTGCAACCATGAATGCAACTGTAGTTTAAACTTTGAATGCAACCACAAACAGTCATAGCCAACAACGGTCACAAGTAGCTGAGATCATGAACTAAATTTTTCCATCATATAAAGAAGAAAACAAAAGAATAAATTTGTTTGAACTTTAAACATCATTTCATGCTTTTCTTTTGTCCCCAAAACATTCGAGAGTTATATTGATTCTCGGTGGAGGAAATGAAAATAAGAAAGATGGCATGCTCACCTCAAAATCCCACTCTGAATACAAGTCAGGATCATTTCTTTTGCCCCAAACATAAGCGTAAACGTGTAACTTTTCAGGCTTGTCCTGTTAAAAAATATATTAGCGTTCTTCTGAGAGTAGAGAATAATCTGTAAGATCATTGTATATTTTTGAGAAACGTAACGTTTGCCTCTTGTATAATAATTATTAATAGGTTAATGGATGGGTGTACAATGTGAAAAACCTAGACTTACCGCCAAGAAAACCTCAACATCAGTTCTAGTATATTCAACATCCTCGAACTCATCTAAAATATCAAGTTCTACTCCCGATATTCCAAGAAGCACCTGATCAAATATAACAAGAGTAAATAAGACTGATACTGAAGTTCAATCAAATTTGATCCGACACCTTTTTTTTTTACTCTAATTATTCCTAATTGATTGAAATAAAATTATACTGACATTCTTTAATTATTTGAAAAACATAACATCATATACCTTGTAAGGGGAGATTGCGATAAATATTTAAAGAAAATGCAGATGTTATTATGTGCAACCTCCAAAAATTCTAGGGTATCAGTTTAGTTTATTTATATACAAACATAAGTTAAAAGGTTAAATATATAAGTTAAAAAATTGTGTTAGAACATGAGATATGAAACTTATCTGAAAAGAACTATTAACCCAAACCAAAACTTACTAGACGAAGCACCAAGTTTAAATATATGAAGTTACAGACTAAGCTGAAACAGACCAGACAAAACCATCAGACCAAACTACAGACTGAAAAGATGAAACATAAAGAAAAAGCTAAAGCTATATAAAGCAAAGCCGGAATTAGAAGTCGTAAATTAGAAACAATCAAATATAAGTAACTGCAAAAAGAAAACGAGACAGGAGCTTGGCACACATCATTGATGTACAGCTACAACTCATTTTTTTTATCAAGCATAAACAACCTTTAAGCAAAATAAAAAATTGCAGGGACATAAAAATTTGATTACAAAAGTTTGGAAAAACGTCAACGGCCATCACTTTGTTTTAGAAAAGAGAGAGATGGATGAATGCATAATTATGAGGAAGGATGTGTAGAAAGAGAGATATACCCTGCCATTAACTTTGTCACTAGGGACAGGGAGAATAGCGGGATAAACGCGACCTTTGATCTTAAACCTGTGACTGCAAATCAGAAACCAATTTAAAGAAACGGCAAAATACGTTGGTTACGATTAACGTATTAAACATAAATGAAAGCTCTTAAGAAGTGATTTCGGATAGAATTGGAGAGCGAGCGAGAGAGAGAGAGAGAGAGAGAGAGAGAGAGAGAGAGAGAGTAACTAGTCGTGAAGGATGGCAGGTGTGGTTGGAGGGAGGCGCTTCAAGAGGGTATGGACAACCTCATCGGCCAGAAGACTCCCGTAAACGAAGACGTTGTGGGTATCGCCACCCACGCAATTCACGTTTGCGCTCATTTTTCTCTTCTTCTCTTCTCTTCTACCACTGAACTACTATACTCCCTAGCTTCTTATTTAACTGGTTATTTACCACATCATCTTCTCATAACTCACTGACGCCAAAATTAAACATTATATACCAAGGATGGACATGTTACATAAATAAATAAATAACACCTGTCTTCTTTTCTTTTCTATCTTACTATGGTTCTTCCTTTTCATCCTCTTTTCTAATACGAATCTTTCAACAGTATCAATCAAACACTCGTCTGATCCCTCAAATTAAACCATTAAATCCAATGCCCCATTTTTAAATTTCAATATTGTTTAGTAAGTCCAAATTAAAATTTCGGTCATTTTCCTAAGTCCATATGATTCTCCTACTGTATCCACAATAAAACCTATCCTAATTAATGGTCCCGTTGATCATTATTTTTGGTTGGCTCCAACATATCTCACAAGTTTTTCTTTTTTATTTTAAGGCCATCGTGGTAAATTAATGATGAAGCCCTACAAATAATTTTCTTCTACCTTCTTCACTCTTTCAGAATCGAAAACTTCATCAAAATTCATTTAGGAGCTTACTATAAGTTTGAAAGATTATTCAATCAAGTTATTCGTCAGACAAATTCCTATACTTCATCTCAATTTTTAAATAAATCTCTTACCTCCGAGTTTTTAAAGAATCAATAACATTTTGATGATTGAGGAATAACTTAATTAAAGGTGTAATATATATATATATATATATATATATATATATATATATATATATATATATATATATATATATATATATATATATATATATATATATATATATATATAAGAAAATTCATCAGAAGCTTTCAAACCATAAAAAATTCGTTAGATTTTATGAAATTAAGAACAATTTAACCTTTTTACATAAATAACCCAAGTTTTTACTTAATTTAGTTATACATATTAATCAGCAAAACCATCAGAATCATTAAATCAAGCTTTTACACACTTTGACACGACAAAACACCATTTTAAACTTCTAAACAATATTACACAAATATGCCTGTTCACTTTCATAGAAAAGACCACAACGAATCATATTAGGAGATGAACTAGTTTCATAGAAAAAGCGAATAAAACAAGTCTCAAGTTTGTATGTTTCCTGCCTAATAATCAATAGTCATTTTTTTATTTAATGCTTGAACGTTGAAACTTGAAATCTCTCGTATTTTATACTACTAAAACAGAAGTTTAGCATGAGTTGATAATCACTTTGTATGCAATACCAATTCATCAAAGTATGCATGTAACTTTGGAGCTATATCATGAAACAAAGGTTAATCATGGTATGGTACATAACACAAGGATAAAACCGACCAAAAACAATATCCAACCAAACAATGTAATCGACTACACATATCGTTAACCAGTTCGTAAAAGAGAGATGACAAGATATAATCTATCCGGGATCGATTCTTGAAATACAGTAACTTCTTCACATGCTCATCGGCTCCGGGGCGCCAAGAATGTCGAGCAAAGAGTTATGAGGCTCCATTTCCTCATGCCATATTGGAAGTTGGTCGCCAGGGTAGAAATTCCTGGTCACTCCCTCTGAGTTTATCTACAAGGTTTTCAAAAACTAAAATCAGGTGGTTTCAAACCATTGTGCATGTATAAAATATGAAACTTATTTTTAAAATACAAATTATCCTTTCGAGTAAATTAAGTTCATATTATCAAGTCATAAAAATGTGACTGGGGGTTCAATTTCCCACAATGAATTATGGTTCAAGAAGAACAAGTCACTGGTCAGATGTCTTACTATGACGGTTCTGACCACCCCACCACTTGCACCATCACGAGCAATAGCCAGTGAAACTGCCTTTTTAACTAAATCCTGCCATACAACAAGTACACAGTCAACAAACACCAAAAAGGATTAAAACAAAAATTTCATCCAAAAATATCACCCCCAGAATTTCTAAAAGCTTCTAAATTATTTGTTATTGTTCATATCTGAAGCATGTTGTTGCAATAACAAGAAAATCATATTAGGTCCCCAAAACCTAACATCTACAATATTTTTGGCACTGAAGTCATTATTTTTTAACTTAGGAAGAGCAGCAGTAAGAATCAAAACGCATACCTCAGCTTCATCCTTGGTCATTCCCTCTTTCCAGGCTTGGTCAAAAAAACCATACAAGTAACTGGAGCCAGATCCTGCAAAAGACACATCAAGTAAACCATAAGCTTAACAAACAAAGGCCATGCATCCCAAGAAAAATCTAACTGGCTAGCGATGAAAAATTAGAAATAAATATAAACACAACAGAAAACCCATATACACATTTGCAGCAAGCAGTGGTCAAGGCTCATTCCAAAGTGAAATCTAAAATCATGTATACATCACAGATAGATACAACAGGACAAGGAAATAGGATTAACATAAAATGTGTGTAAATTAACATAAAATACAAATTTTAATTACAAAGAAGCAATCCATGTTTAAAAAGTGAGCATGAGTCACTATAGACAATAAAACACAAGGTGTCCAAATTGTTTGTTAATGTCTGACACAAATAGGTATTTGACACAAGGCTACTATTTTGAAGTGTCTGCATTTTTTGACAGACATGGCATGATGATTAGTATAGGGAATATGGGATACAATCAAATCATCATAGACTAAACAAATTCATTATCAACCATCGTCAATGAAAATATCCACCAACAAGCCCGGGAAACACAATAGAAGATACATATTTAGAAGAAATTTATCCAGTTCCTTTATATTTTTTTTCTTTCCCACTACATCAGAGCAGAAGAGCAAACGGATAGGGTGTGCTAGGTTTTATTCTCTTCCGACTTTGATTTCAACAACCAACTATCTCTATAGTCTAAAAACAATGAACAATCGCTTCTGACAAAACTTATTAACTAAATTAGATCTACCTAATATCAAATTAATATTATGGGTAATTGATACAAGCAATATATGTAAATAGGGATACTTACATGTATAGCTGGACATGATTATAGAAATAATAATAATAATAATAAAAAGATTGTTCATAGACAAATTTTAAAAGTGAAATACCTCCGATAGCAAAAGGCTGCTGTACTATGGTTCCACCTAGAGGGACTCCAAAAATTTGCCCACCTTCATATTTATCCCAACCACCAACAATTAACCCAGTCTCTAAGAAATTCTGCCAGTGAAAGTAAATTTACAACAAAGCCAAATATCAGCTACCCCAGTCTCGAATAGGATATAAATAGACTGAAGAGAGAAAGAGAGAGAGAGTAAAACTAGGAGAATTCATTAGGCTAACACAATAATGGAACATATGATAATCGTTGGAATCAGAATACATAATTTGAATCACTCCAATTTGAATGTCCAAGTCCAATCTACAATTGAAAATGGTTACTAGTAATGAAAGCTATGTCATAAAAATGTCAGTAACATCAATTCCAATTGTATCTCCTCCTCCCACCCAACCAATATAAAAAGGTCTTAGCAACTTAAAATCTGTCGCCTGAAACCCCTTCCAAATTTATACTTGCTGAAACTTTTACACAATCACGATGACCTAAACTTCAATAAGTAGAGGTGTCAAACTAAAAGCAGATTGGCAGAGCAAGGCGTAAAAAAATGTTGGGTTGCACCAGTTTTGAAAACTCTACTTTCAAATGAACAATTTTATTTTGGTCTGCTCATTTCTCACAACTCTCATTTTGCAACATCTCTAGTCTCTTCCTGATTGAAATTTGACAGAAATGCTATGATTACACCCCAACTACCAACTAATGATAATATAATGAAACAGCTAGTTTTATTAAACAATGTGATGTGAATTTAACATTTATTTAGCCCCAAAGTCTAAACTTTATCAATTTTCATGTGTGAGGTCTAAATGGACCTGATAATGTATCACGAAGGTGAACAATAAAACATAGGAAAATTTAAGCTTAAACAGAACAAGCCTTAAAAGCCAAATCTTGCGGAAACATGGTGAAATCTAAAATGCATTGATCTTGGAATTGATACTGCAAATTGAAGTACAAGGAACAGGCCTTAAGGTCAAACCTTGTTGTTATATGAGAGAAGCCGGACAAGGTTTGCAGCAACTTTAACTGTTGCAGGTTGTCCAAGTTGTATCCTACACAAATAGAAAACTCTCAATGAGGTAAAAATCACTGTAAATACACACTAAATTATAGTCCAAAACTTCACCTTACAACAGAGAATATCCAATTAGTATATGATAAGGGGAAGTAAAGTCACTTACGTGTGTTGATGGAGGAAGTATCGCACATAGTCAGATACAACCTGAGAATCTGCAGCCTGAAAAACTAATGCGGATTACAATGTGTGTAAAACTAAGACAGTGGACGAGAGATTCCGTGATCATCTTCTTCAAGATTGTGTAATACATGCATGTTCGGTATCACATGTGGCAAGAATAAACCAAAAATAATATATTATGTTATAAATATCAATAGTCCAAACCAAACATAACCTTCACCAAAATGCCATTTACTCACATTGAGAACATTTTAGTGGCAGGCGACAATTGAAAGTGAGTAACATATATAATGTAACAAAACGAAGGTACCTTTCATAATAACATACCAAACAATTAAAAGCCTCATTCTCTGCCAATACATTCGGTTAACAAAACTATGTTTGAAACCGCATACTTTATATAGTCTTACAAAAACGTTCAACACCACATATTGTGAGCAGTGAAAAGGGCACAACTACATCAGACACAGAAAGGAAATATCCAGAATTTACAGAAGCACGAATCAAATAAAGGACAATAACAATTACAGACACAAATCACGATGAATAACAAAACAATTTGACATCTACAAGAGAGTCATAGGATAGAAAGAACAATACCGATCCAGAACGACACACATAGACATTATCCGTGAGCTGTGTAATTTTGTCTGATGCCCGGTTGGCAACATACACTCCTGAAAGAGGAAAAAGGACTCAGCATTACTCCCCAAATGACAAACAATAATCGCATCTCGATTCTCAAAAATGAAGCTAGCAATTAACTACCCAGATGAAGAAGTCAAAACAAAAAAAGTAAAAACCCTAAATTAATTTGGATTTTGTTTGCTAGGAAGAAAGAGAGCGTACCAGTGCTGGTTCGAGAGTCGGCTCCGAGAACAACGCCACCGTTGTACGTAACGCCGATGATAGTGGTTCCCATGGAATGGGGAGCGCTGAGATCGACTTTCTGATCCATGATTCAACAGCGAAGCAGCAAACAAGAAGAAGAATAGAAGAGTGAAAATGCAGAGTACCCTAATAACACATGAGAAGAAGAGAAGAAAATGGTCTCGCTCTACTTATTCTTTTTTCTAGACTTGTTGCTTAAGTTTTTCTTTTTTTTTTTAAAAAAAAAAGGGAAACCATTTATTAATTTATAGTATTTATTATTATTATATATAACGAGTTATTATATTCAGCAAAAAAAAAAAAAAATTGTATATGACGAGTTATTATACCCGTATAATTTATACTGTATATTCACCTATAAAGATGGTCGTTTATAATTTTACATATTTTTTTTAATAAAATTAAAGACGTAAAGTGAATGACAAATATCGGTTTTGAAGAAAATAACATATATTGAATAGAATGAATATTAATTAGTTTATTTAAACTAACATAGGATAAAAAATAAAATAAAAGTAAATTAACTAATAACCTTATAATTTTGATAAATTTCTCTTAGCAGTTTTCCTTTGTCTAGTCTACATTAACCTTTAATGGTTAAAAGTATTATATCTGTATAGTACCTTTATCTTTTTAACAATGTGGAAAAAATAAATTACATGGTGCATTATTATAATAACGGTTTTCATAAATGATGAATAAATTAAACAGAATGTTTACAGTCTCAGAAAAACTAAGCAAAGGTGTTGATTTAATGTATTTTATTTTATTTGTTGGATGTATTTGGATGGACTTAAGGGTGACAAACTAAATAGTTTTAAATTGGATTATTCACTAATTGAGATTTGGGCTTAGTTGTGTACTTGGTAATTTCACGAGTCTAGTTGACATATATGTGCCCCACATGGCATTTTAGGTAACATTCAAAATCATTAATAAGTCCATCTGCTTCCTCTTTGATTTACAGGGAGGATAGAGGATGAGACTATATACACAGTCACACTCTTTGTATTACTTACATTAATACTTATCATGTAATTGAGAAAAAGAGTTCTCAAGCACTAATTTAAAAATGAGTTTATCAAATTAAAGGTCATGATTTAATCTTTATTGTAGTCAATATATATACCATGTTTTAGATTTATAACAAATAGTTTAAATTATAATTTAATGCTTTTTTTATCTATTAATAATTTATTTAACAGATAGAAACGCACTAAAATTTACTTTATATAGAAAACTAAGGTACGTATAGGTAAGATAATTGAAAATAAATTTCTTTTACCTAATTGAATAGTAACACATGAAATGAGTTTCGAAATAATAAATAAAAAAACTCAATTGATTAAGGTAATAAAAAGCTATCTAAAACTGCATGTCTCTAACTCAAACTCAATGTATGGAAGCATATTTTATTAGGTTTTAAATCAAACAAATTCTTGATAATTTTAATAATAAGAGTAAACTTTGCCAAATTGCGTTTCCTTTTAATTCATAATTATTTTCGTAATCTCATCTAACATAACCCAGCTATTTTTGAAATATATCATTCATTGGTTAAATTCTTAGAAGCATTTCATTATTAATCACTAGGTCAGAACTCTAATGTCATGACTGTTATTTTCGTCTCCTTTAATTGATGACCATCTATAGTATAAAACCAAACATGTGGCTCTCTTGATTTTTCTCATGTTTTAAAGGTTCTTATGAATATTAAACGTACTTGAATTACAGGTTGTCACGGTTTCGTGAACTACTAACAACTTAACATGATGAATTTTTAATAAATTTGCATGGGCAAGATTATATGGTGGCATGGAAACAAATTAAATCCACAGCCAATTCCATCAAGCAAAATAGACTAAACACAAATAGGTCAAACCTTGCTCTCAACAGAAGTATCATTCATCTCGAAATAGCTATTGACTCGATAGGATTACAGTGAACGAAACAAAGAGAAGGATTAAGATTAAACTTTCTCAAAATTAAAACAGTGTAAATGTCAAAAGTCTGCGTGCATTCCAATCTAAAATATGGCCAGTCACTGAATTTAAGTGATATCTCCAGGGAATGGCTGAAAAGTGGGGATTAACTATATGATGTTATTTGAAAATTGAATGAGGGTTAGCAGGGTCCGCAGTAAATCAGTGAAGTTGCCGAACTCAGCGTCAGTTTTCTTCAGTCATCTCCAGCCCCTCAAAACTGAACCATCCAAAGCAATAGGTTCTGGCAGTGGCTGCAGTTGACGTGTAGGAATGGACACATGAGGAGGGTGTGGAAGTTGGGCTGCTACAACATTTGGTAGTACATTTCCTATTCCAAGTACTTTCCTCACCTCATTTGCAAGTTCTATCACCAAGTCATCCTCATGGCCTGCACATCGGAATGATTATAAATAAGAACGGGCAGGCATATTTAACCGTGCTGACACGTAGAGAATTATGTTTATTAGCTGCATCTATATATATGGAGATAACTTACCAATATCATACATGGCCTTTTCTAGAAGGAAAAGATAGTCCCTGTTGTTTCCACAAGGACCATAGGCAGTTGCTATTTGCCTGAACGAATAAGCAAATATTAGCGAAACCGAAGAGTAGGTCACCGCTTAAAAATGGGTAGAAAAGTGACTGTATTATATACCTCGCCATGTCTTCCAATGGGGCAGGCCCCAGGTAGTATTTGTTGTTCACTTTGTCTGGAGTTGATGTGAATCTGTAGATTGACATGATATTTATTAGCAAACTTGTCTTTGTCCTCATGAGTATATGAACAAAGCAATTGAAAATCTCGGTGTATGTTTGAATATTTATTTTGGAAAAATTGTAGCTTATTCTTTCCTTTCCGATTGACCTTGAAAAAAAGAAAGGTTATTTTTTCTTAAACAAAATATATTCCCTAAAAGGCACTCGTGTATTGGTATCTACAAGATAAAGAAAATCACAAATAATGTCAAAAAAGACTTACACAATTACGTCAGTTAAAGCAGGGTGCTGTGAATCTCCTTCCTGAAGAAAAATATAGCAAATTAGAAGTGGTGGTAATTAAAAATCACTTGCAAGTAATTGGGGGCGGAAAACATAAGAAGATTACGTGTGACTCACCTTGAAGAAGGTTACAAGAGTTTTTCGGTCATATTCACATTCACGTCGCTCCAAATACTACACAACAAAAAATGAACAATTTAAGCCCGAAAGTACATAAATTTGCCTAGAAGGTTTAAAAAGTGTATGATGCTTATTGCCTCATTTGATCTGAAATCAGTAATGAAATACCTCACCCTCTAAGTCCATTTACTTGGAAACATGTACAGAAGTGGAATTATAATCTAGGAAATTTTGATAATGGCAAGCAAGATTGATGTGGACAAATTAACACATGAAAGGGGAAACTAATCTTCGTAGGGCATAATATGGTAGTTTATATAGATCATTAACGAATACCCCAAAGTTAAACTGAATATTAAACATTCATCGTGTGGTGATGAAAACACAATAATAATTTAAAAAAGTACTCACTATCTAAGGTGAACATAATTTTACCTGCATAGCCAGTTTTTCCTTTTCAGGACCTCCTCGAACACAATAAGCAGCTCCCCACTGCCAAAAGACCGAAGAAATTATACGAAAATAAATCAAAAGATAACAATTAAGTATTACAACGACATAACAAGGCACTTACGCAAATACTCCCTTCCTTCTCCTCCAATGTGCAAGTTCTTGCTGGGTTTTCTGGTGTTCCCCTGTGATCAATGCACGCTGCGAAAACAGAATGCCATTTCTAAGCAACCGTGGAAGCTGTTTAAATTCAATAAGGTAGACACAAAACAAAATTAACTGTGCGTGAGGAAGGGCCTTACCTAAATCAAACACGCGTCTGTAATCCTTAATGAAACCAATAATCTTCTCATCGTAATCGAACCCTGGGTTCCACACCAGTGAACCATAGCCAAAAACCCAGAAAACCATGATTTCTGAGGAAAAAAAAACCAGCGTCAGTGAATAAACATAAATAGAACATAGAACATGAAATAATCATTAAAACTAAAGCGAATTAACGAAAGAAATAAAAATTTCTAAGCTTCAAATTCAACACCACATCCGTGGACATGAACTACACCAACAAATATCCGAGATTCGAGCGTTTTGTTGTGGAATAGAAACATTGCACACAGAAATTATATGGTTAACAAACAGTCACCGACAGTTATCTTGATTAAGTATGCCATTAGGGAGGTGGTGGTAGGAAAGAGAAAACGAAAATGGGCAAAAAAAATAAAATAAAAGGGGAAGGGTTCTTACATTGGATCTGGAAGATTTGGCGAGGAAAATGCGAGATGATTAACGAGGCAGAAAAGAGAAGAGAGTGAAAAAGAGAGGAAATGCTAAACGGTAAAGGGGTTTAGCTATAAGATTAGGGATATTGCAATGGTTACTCTCCTCTCTGCTCTTTCTTCTTCTCTTTTCTCGTTTCTCTTTCGGTCGAGGGAGAAGAAGGCGTGAGGCATGCCGCTTACGATAGGTCGGTATTTATGGAGTGGGGGCGGCACGCGGATACAACTCATTCGATGTCACGTGCCTCTTATTCACACAATACACCCATGTTAGTATTTTATTTACTTTTTAATTTTGAGTTTTTTTTTCATTATCTCAAAATGCAAAAAGTGAGAAAAAAAAAAGGAAGAAGAATAAAAACTGTGATTAGAATTTAGATTAATAGGCTAAAGAGTAGGAAGATACATTGAACCTGGACGATGTGGAACAATTGATATCGTTATCTGCGGAAACCAGTTGAGGAAAGCGTGTGATTGAAAACGGGAGAAAGAATTCCTAGAATTTAGAAAAGTGAATTTAAATTGACGAATGAACCTGGATGGTTTTTGGTAGAAAGAGGGAAATTAATGGTTGGCAAGTTGTGGGTGTTGATTAGGTAAGGTTATTAATGGGAGTTTCCAACACATTTGGAAATTTAAGATGATCTGTGTTGAATTTTATGCGTGGTTTTTCCGTTCATAATGATATATGACTGTAGCTGTAGTAAAGGTCGTTAACAATAAATGTTTACCCAAGTCATAAATGTTTATTACTATATATAATCTACCACTTATGAACTTATTATCTAATTCAATTACAATCAAGTGTTTTAGGCAAAATCTGACCTACTAAAAAATACAATTAACTTTGAATAATATTTGTGGGTAAAACAATGACTACGTTTGTAAGAATAAAAATAGTTAGGCGACCATTGATGACAGTAAAAGGTCATTTGAAGGTATAGAATTGACTTGGCTTCATTTGAAATTTGAAAATTCTTTTTTTACCCAAGCAGTGTTTGGGGACTTTCCACGCTATAAACCCACGACGGCAAAGAAGAAAGAACCCAACGAGTGAGAAATTAGTGTTACCTTGAATATTTGACCACCATTTATTTAAACTTTGGTGTCAATCAATGATAGGATCATACTATTGACGTGGTCTTGGAAATGGGTAAGTAAGGTTCTCTTTAGTTTATTAATGTTTAATTTAATGTAATTGTTTTCAATCAAGGTATCTATGGGTTCATGTGAGTGAGGTACGCGGTGCCAAATGAGGTGACAGGAGTCCAATTAAAGCTCTTGGTTCTATGGACCGAAAATTAATTAAGAAAGAAATAAGAGGAAAGTTGGAAAACCGATGCGTAAATTTTAGTATTTAAAAAAAAAATCATCTATTCATTTATGAAGAGAAAAAGTACGGTGTAATAAATAATTTAAATTCAAATATTAAATATATAATATATATTTTTAAGTAATATATAATTATACTAAATAATTAAAAATAATGAATAAAATCAACTACCTTAAATACTTATTTTTATAAACTTTTCTTTTATTTCTCTCAATTTTTTATTATTTACTTTTAATTTAAATAATTTTATTTTGATCTCTTTTTTTCTCTCAAATCTTTCTATCTCAACTCCGTACTCAATCCAAACGCTTTGGTGTATCCACTAACCTCACGTTCATTAACTTCTAAGAATTTTTCTGGTGAAGTCATTTTTTAAATTAGTTTTATAATTGTGGCAATCAGATCACAACTAGACCTTAAATAAAATATTTTTAAAATCGATAAAATTGTTACTAGTATTTTCTAGAAACAAAGATTAAAAAAACTTTATAATAAAATAGTTTATGAAATCAAATCTTTGATTGAAGAAGGAAAGTTAGCATCTCCATTGTAATGACGATTAATTAAGTATATTATTTTTAATTTTAAATAATTATTTCATTATAAACTAATCATAAATTCAATTAAATAAAACATTAATGCGTGTTTATTATTTTAAAAATAAACTAGTTACTATTATAATCATAAGAATAATTATAAATCAGAGAAAAATAATATTATGTTCCTTCTGTAATGAAACTCAACACGGTTTCATCTGCAATAAAAAAATCAAACACACTTAGTTCTTTTAAATAGAAAATATTGTGTATTGTTTTTTTATTATTGTAATTTAATTTTTAAAGAATAAGAAAAGCGACGTTAAAAAATACTAAAAAATTAAGTTAGGAAATTTAAAATGATGCAGTATTCTGATAACTGTTTTTCATATTAAAGTTCACTGTAATTCTTAACTGAAACATGAAATTTGGTTTAATAGATCTATATTTCATAAAATTATTATTATTATTATTATATTGCATCAAAATTTAAATTAAGTTCATTGAAAAGATTTAAAATATCATTTTAGAGAGGTGTTAGATTTAATTAACCCTTGGTTAAATATTTAATAATACATAAGTATCACAATTTGATAAGCAGTAAAAATTTCAGGAAAGGATTATTTTCACTTATGGCTTTTCATATTATAATCTTAAATGTTAAAAATCTCATATTATTAGTTGAAAAAAATATTGCAAGACTATTCTATCTTTTGTCTTTCCTATTTTCCTAATTTAATGAAAAAATTATTTAATGAAAAAATTATTAAATTTTGACCGGATTCAACTTTTTGATGTTTTTTGTAAATGATATTGATTTTAAAAAAATGGAATTAGATTTGAATGTTTAACCATTTATTATTGATTCTTAGGACAGTATTTATGATTTATAGATGTTTTGAGTGCAGGTATATTTCACACAAAAATTTAGGGTTTTAATTAAGGATAACAGTATATTTATGAAGATAACAGGTTTAATTAAAAAAATCATGAACGTCAACGTGCAATGCACCAATTGAACTGAGAGAATAAAATAACAAAATAAAATAAAAATTAGAGGAATGGTGATACCCAACCATCCATATTAAATTTCATTTCATAGTCCTGTGTCATATAACAAGTGTCTCAATATTCTGTAAATTGATTTGTTTGCATGTTAATACCAATCATCTTTAGGTTAGAATTATTATTATAATTCCTTGGTGATTATTTTAACTAATAAGTTTTCTGACAGTAGTTGAGGATTGGAAGACAAAATATTTGAAATAATATTTGTTATTGATCAATCTGTCACTTATTGCAATTAATATATTAAAAAGTAAACAGGAAAGTGTTTAACTTATGAAACTATGCACAATCAATTTTATACAAAATTAAATACTAAATAAATACATGATTAATGTAAAATAATAAAAATTAATATGGAGAGTGCCCTAATATTTTGGTCACTATTCCAAAAGAATGAACTCTAATCGTACATACTCAAGTCAATATAATAATGAATAAAAAAAGTTTACACACTCTAGACAGCCACCATACTCAGAATCCAAAGCACCATAGAGAACTCAAACGCGAAGAGAGTGTGAATTAATCCTCGATCAAGTACAAATCCAAATAGTGTTATCCCTCCATAGTTATGCTCCAAATATGTCACTGCAATAATGCAGACAAAACTTCACTAAAGTGCTTTATTAGTGAATGGTGTCACTTTCACACTAAAATATCCCTTTCACATTATGTCAGTTTTTGCAAAGAAATTACCCTAGTTTTCTAACCAAGACATGAAAATGTTTGTAGGGACAAAATCTTCACAATGCACTCTGACTCTGTTCTATGTGGGTAGTACCAATTAAAGGTAAAATGAATACATCTTATAATATATATTAAATTTATAACAGTGTTAAATGCTATTGCCAACATTGTTCAGCAAGTACTTATTTTTTTAGTTTTAGACTATAAATGTTTTTCATAGGATACAATCTTATCTTAAGCCAAATATGTTAATGGAAATGCATACACATGTTGATATAAATGCTTATTATTGCTTATCATGTATATCTTGATAACATTGTGTCTTAAATTAAAGATAATGCTCACCTAAAGCTTGTCTGTTATGGAAAAAAGAAGGTGATGGGGTTACTGAAATCTGTATTTCTGATGAATCAGAATCACTGGCAGTAGGACTGTGTAATCCCTCTGCCATTTGGCCTTTCCATTGCTCTGATTCAGTAGATGCATTGGTCGCCACCATGTGCCACTTTGCGGCAATTGACACTATACCTTGAGCCCTGTGTGTGATTCTGGCAGCACCCATAAGGCACAAGGCAAATCCACACAACTGCACAGCAGAACAAATCTGCACACCAAAAACCAATCAACACTCTTAAAGCTACAAGTACTGTCATTGGCCTAGTAAGAATATAGACAACAATATTTATTGAAGTAAAGAAATAACTTTACCACAAGGTCACCAGAATTGAAGAAGGTAGTGTCAGATTTGGATTCCAAAACCAGCAAGAGAGAAGTCAATTGACCAACCGTGATGGTCACCAAACAACTAATTATAAAGAACCTGTACCTATGGCTTGTTATCCACAATTGCCTCTTGATTCTGACATGTTCTCTGAATATGGTGTTTGCATCAGATTCACACCCTTCAAAGAGCTTATGAAGTCCTTCAAACCTCAGTATCTGAAGCTCGCAGGTAAGCCTAAAGAGCACACACGCCAACAAGAACAACCCAGTTCTGTAGACCCAGGAAAGCAACACTAAAACAAACACAACCCAGTTGAGGAGGGTCCCACATGGGACAGAAATTTCCACCCTGGAAAAGAAGATGATTTTGTGAACAAGTTCTACCATAAAGGAAGGTAACATCATGCACGCTAAGTATCTGAATGATTTCTGAAGTTGGCGCGTGTACCCGCGTCGAACATAAAAGGAGTCATCTTGTAATACGTCTGGGAACAGAAGCTGCCTGAGGCCATAACTGCAAACTCATGCATGCATTGAATTGAAGATTTCGTTACAATGAGATGTTTCAAATAATGAATTAGTAAAATTTCTGTTTTTGTTTGGTACCTTGGGAAGAACGGAGAGAGGGTGAAGAAGGCGACAATCGCGAGGGCTGATTGTGGTAGTTGGAGGAGCTTATTGAAGCTAAAGGGGTCGAGTTGGGAAGCAGGGATATGTACGAAGAGAGAAGTGAAGAGAGGGACTGTAAAGGTGAGGAATATGAAAGCGAAGTAGGAAAAGAGTTTTGTGAGGAGAGAAGAGTGGTCGAGAGCACAGCATTGAAGGCTTGTGTGAATGTTTCCAAATTCGTGTGTGGCATAAGATGGTTGTTGGAGGAGCAAGGGAACGTTGAGGTGTTTGAGTTTTTGTTGATTTGGGTGGTTTTCGAGGATTGATGGGCTTCTGCTGGAGGAATCAACGTCGATGATGATGGCGCTGTTTAATTCTGTGGAGGGCTTCATTGTTGGGTTTGTTTTGAAAAGTACGAGACAGAGAAACAGAGCAAGAGAAAAGTGAAAAAACAGAGCAAAGAAAAGTGAAAAAACAGAGCAATGGGTTTGAGAGGTGTTTGTTTAATTGTTGTTGGCCACCTTTCTATCTGAGTACGTGTGTACAGAGAAAAATAGGAATTAAAAAGAAGATAGTAAATACTTTAGTTTAGTTTGGAGATTCTAAAAACTTATTTTAATATTAAAAAAAATAAGTAAATATTAAATGTTGTGTATAAAATAGTTCATTTAAACATCTATGTAAGTTATTTTATTAAGAAGTAAACAGTACAATAATTGAAATAAAAATATATGAAAAAAATAGAATCTACAAAATAAATGTTACAAAGGATATCATAATCAAATGATATGATAACTAAGTTTATAATTTAGTCATGAGACTTATCTAAAAAATAAATTAAGTTAATTTTTTTTAATAAATTTATTTATTTAGATATGCTAGATTAGGTCAAATTTATCTAACATGGTTATTGTCTTTGTATATATATATATATATATCAATGAAAATAACTTATGAATATTATATAAGATTTTAACAACTGAAATCTTCAGAAACATAAATAAATATATATATTTTTTTCATCCTATAACTATTTTTTGTAATTTTATTTTTATTTCATATAATTTCGTTGTTATTATCATTGTATGTGAAACTTTAACAATTTTTTTATATCGAGTTCATTTAAATACATGCTATCTTTGAAAAATCAAAGATAATAACAGAAAGTATAACATGAAGACATCTAAATAGAAAGTATGATTACCATTTTGAATCTTAAAAATATGTTTAATTGATATTTTTTACAAATATATTTTCATAATATATATGTTATTCAATTATTTCCAAGAGTACAAAGGAATAATTATTTTTATGAAATTCATATTTGTATATTCATTAGATGAAGTTTCACTTTTATATTTAGGCTCTATTATTTGTGTAATTCTAGGATTATCTTTATCCTTGACAATAAATGATTTTTTTACCTTAAAGACGACAATAAAACAACAATAGAAAGTTAAAAGATAACAAATAGTTTCTTACATGATTTTTTCCAATAAAATTGTAACGAATATTCATTTTTTTAAATAAAAATATATTGTAGTTAAAAAATTTATAATTTAATTAAAATAAATTGTCTAATAATAAAAAAAAGGTTGTAGACAAAAATAATATGTGTTTCACACCAATAATACAATGATTATGGGTTGTGTTATTTCATTTGTTTGCATGTGTAAGTAAATCGTTTTCATTTTTTTATTGGTAAAAAGAAATTAAAAGAATATATATGAAAAATGCTATATTTTTATTATTTTAAAGATAAAAATAAAAAATATATATAATTATTATAATATGTAAATATAATTAATCAATGCAGTAAAATGAAGTGAGAAGGATATACAAAAAAGGTATAAACCTTGCTTTGTGTTGTGAAATATCTTTAGGTTACACGTTAAGCCAGGAATAAGGGACATTTAATTGAAGAACTACAAGTTTTGTTTGTTCCCTGTCCCTAGTGTAGTTTGTTTTTATAGTTATAGTGTTGTGAAATTCGGTTTCAATATATTAAAAAAATTAAAATTATGTTATATATGTTAAATATAATTTCACAGTTTCAATTTTATAAATAACTAAAATTTAAATAAAGTGTTAATAAATAGCTCAATTTCATAAATAAAAATGAAAACACAGTTCTACCAATTAAATTAATATACAATAACCAAAATCGATTACATTAACGGTATGGTCATTAACCTGGTGCAACTTATTAATCAATTTTTAGTATGATTTATTCTTATATATTGTCATTAAATTGAAAGTGATATAACATCCACAAGTTATAATTAAATTATATAAAACCGAATATTAATTTTAATTTTTCTGTGGGGATTTTTGGTTGAAACTCTTTAATAATACATTTAAATTGATATTGTGTTATAAGTGTTTGTGGGAATTGTGTAAGAACTTATTAAAATATTTAAAAATTAAATATAATTTGTATTCTTTAAAATTGGTACAATATCATTAATTCAAAAGTAATTAAATAAAAAAACTGAAATTACAATTTTTAATTCGTATCAAGTTTGGACGTAACAAAATCTTATTTTAATTTAATATTTTGTAAACCAGCAGTAAAATTGATTCTGGCTCATTTTTATAATAGTTTACAGAAAAAGCTCATGTAAAATTTGACACTTTATTTATTTTTATCAGAGTTGAATATATAAAAGCATCCCTCTTTTTATTTATTCTCTTAAATTTGTTACTAATCTCATACATTCACAAACTTACATACAATGATTAATACAATGACGTGTTTAATATTTGTAATACATGTATTATATGAACAAATTAAAACAAAATTCTAACTTATACATGAAACAAATTATAATTATTCATTGTTAGTAAATTTTTTATGTTTATTTTCTGAAATATTAAATTTAATTAAATAAATTTATGTTTTAAATGTTGTTTGTAACTTTTTATACGAATCCTTTTTCAATGGTAGGTAGTGGTTTAAATTTTATAACATTTTACTGCTTTTATGTAGTTATATTTATTTATTCACTTTTTGTTGTTGAAAATATATTTATTTATAGATATACACATTGAATAGTTTTTTTTTAATTATATTATGACTTTAGATATAATTTTAACTTCAACCCTTTATTTTTTATTTATAAACTATTTCAAGTATGATGATGACTGTTTCCAATAATAAATCTATTACTCCTAAGTCTATTAATTTAACGATAGTGCCATCAACATATATATATATATATATATATATATATATATATATATATATATATAAAATAAACATGATTACAATATTAACATTATTAAAAACAAAAAAACTCTCCAACCTCTTATCATATGACATGTTATTTTTTCAAAACCTCGGTCAAGAGAAACATAAAATAAATTGAATAAAATATGCATATTATTTCTCATATTTTTAAATCATGATAAAATATCCGTAATACTTATAAATAAAAAGAATAAAACTCTTCATAAAAAAGAAAATAAAAATAAATAATGAGTAATCTCAATCTCTACGCATGTTGCATGTAGGGCAGTAGATTCTGTTCATTACAAACACAACAGACAAATAAAAGTCACATAAAATTGTTGTTAAACATATTTTTGAGACCACCAATGTGATAGAAGGCATCACCCTTTCCAATAACAAGAAATGACAGCCTTTAACCAGGCCACAAGAAACATATAAATAAGCATTGAACAAAAGTATCTTTGGAAATGAAGTCCAAACACTGATACATTATCGTAGGCCGGCCTAACAGCTCATTCTTTGTGGGAAGGATCTTGTCCTTGTCAATGTCACCACACAAACCAATAAGTAATGATTTCTTAAGCAAAATGCCTATTATTTCTCCATTTCCTTCATCTTCTTCATCCTCTTTCTCTCTGCTTCTTAACTCACCAACCAAAACTCCAAAACCATTCTGTTTTAATCTCCAAATTCTTATGGCGCATGAACTACAATACTGCTGTCTTCTCACGCTCTTCACTTGTTTTTTGCCTTCATTGGCTGACAATGCTCAAGTTCTGATGAACTTCAAAAGCTTCTTGTCCAATGCTGATGCTTTAAGTAACTGGGGGAACCAAACAATTGGTGTGTGCAGCTGGACTGGTATATTATGTTTCAATCAAAATTTTCATGGCTTGAGATTAGAACACATGGGACTAGGTGGCACCGTTAACGTAGACACGTTGCTTCAGTTGTCCAATTTGAACAGCTTTAGTGTCATTAACAACAACTTTGAGGGTCCAATGCCTGAATTCAAGAAGCTTGTGAATTTAAGGGCGATGTTTCTGAGCAATAACAAGTTCTCTGGTGAAATTCCAGATGATGCTTTTGAAGGCATGAGGCGTCTTAAGAGAGTATTCTTGGCTGAAAATGGGTTCACGGGTCATATTCCTACATCCCTTGTTAAATTGCCTAAACTTTTGGATGTGGATATACATGGAAATAGTTTTGATGGCAACATACCAGAATTTCAACAGAGGGATTTCAGAGTGTTTAATTTGTCTTACAACAATTTAGAGGGTCCAATACCAGAAAGCTTAAGCGGCATGGATCCCGGCTCATTTGCTGGTAAGTTGACAGTCATCTCTACTCTGTCTTTGTAGGTTATGCCAATAGAGATATCATATACCTAGTTTCTATTTGTTCTTATCATTGATCATATATTCCCTCTCTATTTCTCACTGTATGAATCATAGACAAATTTTCTTCTACATTTGAACTTCTTTTGTTGCCGTTAATTTTGGAAAATTCAATTACATGTTGATATCAGTGTTAAACGTTTGAGTCTTAATCAAGGAAATTTAACTATCGCTACGACTATTTAAAGAAGTCTAAGAAACTTCACACCAACAAATGTAAACTCTTCAATGAATCCCTCCTTCAGCATTTGAATGCAAAATTGAACAAAACAGTCAATGATAATCAATTCATGTAGAGGTTATCTATGATACTTTTTTTTTTTTCCTTTTTGCTCCAAGTGTTCACCATTGGTAACTTCTACAACAAGATTCATTCCTCTTTTTTGAAATTACAAATTTTAATCTAATTTTTCTAGTGCAACAGGCAATAATGGTCTATGTGGAAAGCCTCTAAGCCTCTGCACTGGAAGCCCCACCCCACCCCCGGTCTCTAATCAACACCCGGATTCACATGCAGAAAAAGAAAACACGAAAAAACGCATTCTTCTAGCAGTTATTATAGTGGTGGTGGTGATAGTGTTGGCTTCATTACTAGCACTCCTGTTCATCCGTTACCGTCGAAAGAGAGCCATACTGGTCAAAGATGCACAACCCCAGAACGTTACTCCATTTTCTAGCGAGTCCAAATCCATTGTTGTGACAGCTGAATCCAAGAAAAGTGAAGATGGAGAGTTGAACTTCGTTGGGAACGATAGGGTGGGGA